CCCCCCCCCCCCAGACAGACTCCCCTACTCTTCCCATAAATAAACTTCTCATACTGTAAAGCGCCACCATGCAACCAGGTCTTACACGGAGTTTATGTTGAATTTAGACAGCGCTAATCACTTTAAAATTATGCTACAAACCGTGAATTACCAAAGGTTAATCAGGGGCTCCATGCAAAATGAAGTTAGCAGAACAGCGGCTGCAGAGCGCAAGTGACATGCCAGGAAGGTCTGGTCTGACTCTGCTCCCGGAGATTCCCCATCAGCCCCCCGGCACCTACTGCACAAGATAATTTCGTGCCAGAATCGGCCTAATTAGCTCATTATCTATCTGCGGAGCCACAAGCACGATCAGAACTGGCACACATCTGATGATTAAAGTGGTCATGGTCATCTTTTAACTGAAGAGCGACACCGGATGTTACGAACATGAAATTTACCTGTTCAATAGCTTCGTTGTCAAGTGTGTAATTCAATTACTTAACAAACTTATCTACATGCATAGGAGCCAAAATGATCAATAAATTGATCGTGGGCCCTTAAGATATAGAGGACGAAGAAGAAACAAATGTTTTATAGAACAAACGTCTCTTTATTAAATATACAGCTCCAAAAATATAACACTCACTGATATCTTCCCAAACCATAACACCATTCACAGCGTCATCTCCCATTTACCCCAATGCGTCACACAATTCCCAGCATATAGCAAAAGCTACAGAATCACTCTCTGAGCCAAACACACAATCAAACAACTTCTCAAGCTCAACACTCCATGCAAGACGTTCGCCTTCCTAAATCTAGTTCACAACAAATATTGAGGCAAACATAAAAACAAAAAAATGGTACATATGCAAGAAATATGTACATTGTACAACACTACACTCTCGGACGCTGTATGTTAGGTTGGTCTCTTATCTAATAGATAAGAGATTCTTATCGTGTTAGGATAGCTCCATTACGGTGCGCAAAAAACACACGATCTTTCAATGACCAAAAAACAACCACAACACAAAAAAAACAACAACACAAAAACCCAAAAAACAACCAAACAACAGATGCTAGCGGCGTAACATTGTTTGCGTGTGCGATAGGGTACAACTCATCCACATACCTAGGTCACACGTGTGCGATAGGGTACAACTCATCCACATACCTAGGTCACACGTGTGCGATAGGGTACAACTCATCCACATACCTAGGTCACACGTGTGCGATAGGGTACAACTCATCCACATACCTAGGTCACACGTGTGCGATAGGGTACAACTCATCCACATACCTAGGTCACACGTGTGCGGTAGGGTACAACTCATCCACATACCTAGGTCACACGTGTGCGGTAGGGTACAACTCATCCACATACCTAGGTCACACGTGTGTGATAGGGTACAACTCATCCACATACCTATATAGGTCACACGTGTGTGATAGGGTACAACTCATCCACATACCTATATAGGTCACACGTGTGTGATAGGGTACAACTCATCCACATACCTAGGTCACACGTGTGTTATAGGGTACAACTCACCCACATACCTAGGTCACACGTGTGCGGTAGGGTAAAACTCATCCACATACCTAGGTCACACGTGTGTTATAGGGTACAACTCACCCACATACCTAGGTCACACGTGTGCGGTAGGGTAAAACTCATCCACATACCTAGGTCACACGTGTGCGATAGGGTACAACTCATCCACATACCTAGGTCACACGTGTGTGATAGGGTACAACTCATCCACATACCTAGGTCACACGTGTGTGATAGGGTACAACTCATCCACATACCTAGGTCACACGTGTGTGATAGGGTACAACTCATCCACATACCTAGGTCACACGTGTGCGATAGGGTACAACTCATCCACATACCTAGGTCACACGTGTGTGATAGGGTACAACTCATCCACATACCTAGGTCACACGTGTGTGATAGGGTACAACTCATCCACATACCTAGGTCACACGTGTGTGATAGGGTACAACTCAACCACATACCTAGGTCACACGTGTGTGATAGGGTACAACTCATCCACATACCTAGGTCCCACGTGTGTGATAGGGTACAACTCATCCACATACCTATATAGGTCACACGTGTGTGATAGGGTACAACTCATCCACATACCTAGGTCACACGTGTGTTATAGGGTACAACTCATCCACATACCTAGGTCACACGTGTGTTATAGGGTACAACTCACCCACATACCTAGGTCACACGTGTGCGGTAGGGTAAAACTCATCCACATACCTAGGTCACACGTGTGCGATAGGGTACAACTCATCCACATACCAAGGTCACACGTGTGTGATAGGGTTCAACTCATCCACATACCTAGGTCACACGTGTGTGATAGGGTACAACTCATCCACATATCTAGGTCACACGTGTGCGATAGGGTAGAACTCATCCACATACCTAGGTGACACGTGTGTGATAGGGTACAACTCAACCACATACGTATATAGGTCACACGTGTGTGAGCGACTGCATGCTTCGCACTGGTGTGTAATGATGATTCCGATATTTGGTTCTTGCGCAACAAGATCTGAAGGAAGATGGTCGGAAATCTAGCTCTATTTTCTATTCGTATTCATCTCCGATGGCTGTGAAGATTCAAATAATGTGTGCGTGTGTGGGGGGGGGGGTGGGGGGCGTTATTAACCACTTATTGAACACAAACCGAAGATGTCATATAAAACACTTTTAAACAATAGATAAATATATATTTATATCTATTAATCCCATGTTGGGTGTACAAGATAATTTTAAAAAGGCAACAATCAAGTTTATATACCGTTAACGAACGTGTCAAGTCTTCTTCCTTTTCTTATATTCGAGGGGCCCACGATCAATTTGTTGATCATTCTGGCTGCTGGTTCAAGTTCAGAGTCGAGTTCATATAACCAAACCGACACGTTCATGTAACCAAACTGAACAGAGAAATATAAGATGTTATAGACACGTACACTTCATGTTTTAAAAAATAACATTGGTGCGTGCAGACCCTATGACGTCAAGACAGCGTAGACAAGGAAAAGCGTTTTTTAAAAAAAAAAATTTTGTTTTTGTTTTGTTTTTTCAATCCAATCCTTCAAATTCTGTATTTGGCCAACCTTGTATCTTACTTATCGCGGCCCGTGTAATCGGGAACAACCCAAAAGAACCTTGGTCATGATCTGGCCGATTTTCTCGAAATTTTATTTTCAAACCTTCATGTTTCACTTCATCGGCCCGGTGATAGGAATATGAATTTGTTTTTTTTTGAAAAAAATTGATCTTGTCGACCAGAAGACGGTGACACAATAAGGTCTGGAGCGTCCTCACCCCCATAGTTTTATTTGGAATAAAACAACCTCTAAAAATGGGGGGGGGGGATGGTTTGATTAAATTTATTTAGTGTATGGCGATCCTAATGGATTAAAGATGCGTTTAAGCACAAATAGGTCACACAAATTTAAGGAACTGGGAAACGTCTTACACACTTAATCTCCTCACCAAAAAACACGGTCCCATGGAATAAAACATGTATCATTCATCTCCTCTTGAAAACAGGAAAGACTTGAGTTTTGGGGGTTTGGGGTTTGGGACTGAACATTCAATAGCATGCTATGTCACTTGCAACGATTCTAGTGCCAAATTTCAGTTTGACAGAATGACGGGAAATGGTTCAATTAGCTGTCAGAATAGATAGTACCCCAAGCACACGATCAAAAGAACATTTAACTTTAGGAAGGCTTTGAAAAAAAGCGTTCAATAGCAGGACATACTGGAATAAGCTGGAATAAGCTGGAATAAGCTGGAATAAGCTGGAATAAGCTGGAATAAGCTGGAATAAGCTGGAATAAGCTGGAATAAGCTATCCGGTTTCCTTGCATATTTTATGCCTCTTATCAATGTAAATATAAATATTTATTTGTATAGGCTTAAGTTATTCATCCACCATCAATTTTAGAACCCTTCCTTCTCTTATCTAACTAGAGCAATGTCATTTGGCGAAAAGTGCAATGCCTTGTAGAAAAAGTCAGAACAAAATTGACGACTTAAGTCGGTCTTTTGTACTAAACTTTATGAAGGGGAACATGATTTTCGTAACGACACTTTCGCTGCTCCTGGGTCAGTACTGAGAGTTTTTTTGTTTGTTTGATCGAAATCCCCCTGTTCGAAGTTTAATAACAAACTTGACCATCTGACAAAACTTAGATTTGATTGATATTTTTAGATTAAGGATGTGCTGTGCTCTACATTTCTATGTTATAAACTCGTTATCTTATTATTTGTCTTTTAAAGAAAACCCAACCACCTTTTGTTCTTCGAGTAACACATCGCCAACAAGATTTATAAGAGAAGTTATCATTTTAGAAACATACTTTTAGAATAATTATTTTTGTAAACCCCAACCACTGAAAACAGCCTCGGGCCTGGCTCAAGTCCACGTGGGTCCTATAGGTGTTCCGCTTTCAACAGCTGGGAACTGCTACCATTGTGACCCTCATGCCAACCCGTTCCCGGCGTGCCTGGCGACACCGATCACGTGTCATGCTGGAGAGGTAAGGGTGCTCAAACCGCTTTTCCAACCTCTTTACCTGTCAGTCAATGTTTTTTTTTCCATGTTTTTCGACATCAAAGGCAACTCAGTCAGTCAATGTTTTTTTTCCATGTTTCTCGACATCAAAGGCAACTCAGTCAGTCAATGTTTTTTTTCCATGTTCCTCGACATCAAAGGCAACTCTGCCAGTCAATGTTTTTTTTCCATGTTCCTCGACATCAAAGGCAACTCAGTCAGTCAATGTTTTTTTTCCATGTTCCTCGACATCAAAGGCAACTCAGTAAGTCAATGTTCTTTTTCTCCATGTTCCTCGACATCAAAGGCAACTCTGCCAGTCAATGTTTTTTTTCCATGTTTCTCGACATCAAAGGCAACTCTGCCAGTCAATGTTTTTTTTCCATGTTCCTCGACATCAAAGGCAATTCAGTAAGTCAATGTTTTTTTTCTCCATGTTTCTTGACATCAAAGGCAACTCTGCCAGTCAATGTTTTTTTTCCATGTTCCTCGACATCAAAGGCAACTCAGTAAGTCAATGTTTTTTTTCTCCATGTTCCTCGACATCAAAGGCAACTCAGTAAGTCAATGTTTTTTTTCTCCATGTTCCTCGACATCAAAGGCAACTCAGTAAGTCAATGTTTTTTTTTCCATGTTCCTCGACATCAAAGGCAACTCAGTAAGTCAATGTTTTTTTTCTCCATGTTTCTCGACATCAAAGGCAACTCTGCCAGTCAATGTTTTTTTTCCATGTTCCTCGACATCAAAGGCAACTCAGTAAGTCAATGTTTTTTTTCTCCATGTTCCTCGACATCAAAGGCAACTCAGTAAGTCAATGTTTTTTTTCTCCATGTTCCTCGACATCAAAGGCAACTCAGTAAGTCAATGTTTTTTTTTCCATGTTCCTCGACATCAAAGGCAACTCAGTAAGTCAATGTTTTTTTTCTCCATGTTTCTCGACATCAAAGGCAACTCTGCCAGTCAATGTTTTTTTTCCATGTTCCTCGACATCAAAGGCAACTCAGTAAGTCAATGTTTTTTTTCTCCATGTTCCTCGACATCAAAGGCAACTCAGTAAGTCAATGTTTTTTTTCCATGTTCCTCGACATCAAAGGCAACTCTGCCAGTCAATGTTTTTTTTCTCCATGTTCCTCGACATCAAAGGCAACTCAGTAAGTCAATGTTTTTTTTCTCCATGTTTCTCGACATCAAAGGCAACTCTGCCAGTCAATGTTTCTTCAAGTTTACATACCCTAGCTAACCTTAGACCATAAGCCTACCTTCTTCACCGGGTAGCATAGACCATAGCCAATCTCTGATTAATAGCATCCCTCTTCACCGGGTAGCACAAACGTTTGCTAACCTTAGACCATAAGCCTACCTTCTTCACCGGGTAGCACATACCATGGATAATCGCTGATTAATAGCACCCCTCTCCACCGGGTAGAAAATACCATGGATAATCTCTGATTAATAGCATCCCTCTCCACCGGGTAGCACATACCAAGGATAATCTCTGATTAATAGCATCCCTTTTCACAGGGTAGCACAGTCCCTAGCTAACAGTTGCCTATAACCATTTCCCATTGGGGCTATCCTACATCGGACAACATAACAAAACGTGCGGACTGTAGTAGATTGAAGAAATCTGCCCGCGCAAGTGCTGCGATTTCGACCGATTCATTAGTTCAGGTTTACAAGAACATATTAACTACTACCTTTTAAATTTAGATGATGTGCATTGAATTTGGAAATGTGTTTAATCCTACCAGGTATGTGCTGTCACCTATTATGGGGATGCTCCCCAGATCAAGTGTCAGAGAGAAGGAGTAAGTGAACTTCCGGTCTCATTACGACGTCCAAATAGGTTTTTTATTTCCACTTTTTAGCACTAATCACCAGCGCCTTCAGCGCTTTAAACTAAACACTTACAATTATATGTGACATGAAGATGTAGTTCCAGTATATTTTATGTGAATAGTGACTAGGAGAATACTGTCAAGCTCCGTGTTTCTAATTTATTGAGAGCTAATTAAGGCATTTGAATTCAACATGTTTAAAAAAATATATATTTATCTAACTAGCAGATCGCACAATACGTTTGTGTAAAATAGTGAGAATTTAAAAAAAATAAAATAATGACTTTGTCCCTTTTCATCAGGATTGTGCTAAAGATGTCTCCCATGCTGTGGGGTTGTGCGGTGGGGGCGGGGTCCAACTACAGAACGGGAGGTGTGAACTGTGCTGCAAGACACAGGACTGTGTGGCAGCTATAACAACCCAACTCAAGGATTCTCTGAGTATGTCACAGGTTCATATGTGTGTAAGAATGAGCTTAGATGTCAATATTGCGGTAAAAAAATCGAAACGAAATACGGTCGTATTCTTGAAAACAATAATAGGGATTTTTCTATTATTTTTGGAAATCGAATCAATTAAAATATGAAGAAAATAGAAACCATGTATGCTTGTATTTAAGTATATGTTTAAGAATTATTATTAGAAACTAGAAATACATACAAAATACAATTAAAAACTATTTTAAGTATTTCAACGCAATTTGAAAGTTAGTGTACTCTTTTTTGTTATGTATAAATGACTGTGTAAGTATTAGATCTACTATTATAATTCCAAATCCCATTTATCGCGAAAACCCAAACATGTCTTGCTTTTTCTTAGTGCGTTTTTTAAACTGCGAAATTAAATCTAAATTTACGTAATCCAAATATCTTATTATACCAATATCAAATTACAATATTCTAAGACACCACACCGAATTTTAACTTTGTACTTTTGACTTTTATAAATTTTCTCATTTTCCATTTAAAAAAAATGCTTTTATAACATTCATAAAGTATTAAAGGCCCTACCAATTGAAAACAATTTCAATAAGAAAATTCCGTTTCAGCCATTTACGTGCAACGAACATTCCTATCCAAATACCGACCACAGTTTCCCCTGTCACTGATTCAAATGAAAACAAACTGTCCGAAGCAGCAATTGGTTCATCATGTTATCAATACGTCAAAACCAAATTATGTTACAGATTCGAACTTTTGGTTTGATATTAATTTTAAAATAAATAACAATAACTTTTAAATAATTGAAATATAGGTCAAATTTTTAAGATTGTTTTTAATAAAATATAAAATAGAGCATATTGAAATGGTGCTGGGCTTTAGATTTTTAATACATTTCAGGGGCATTGAAAATAAAGTTCTGTTTCGTACGTAGGGTGATACAATCCCGTGGATGATTTTAATAATGTTTTTAAAAAAACTGGGGGGGGGGGGAGAAAGGGATTGGATGATTTTATTTTGCCCCAGGCAGCATAAGATACGCCTCAGTATGAAGTTAAGAAAGTGATAAATAATTTTTTTTGTTTTTTTGTTAATGATTTTAATAATGTTTTTAAAAAAACTGGGGGGGGGGGGGGGAAAGGGATTTGATGATTTTATTTTGCCCCAGGCAGCATAAGATACGCCTCAGTATGAAATTAAGAAAGTGATAAATAATTTTTTTTGTTTTTTTGTTAAGAGTACTTCAGAGGGGTGGATTAGGATGTGTACATTTCTACGTGGATGACAACATCTTAATGTTAATGCAGTAGCGAAAAAGAGATATATTATAGTTTCTTCCAAAATAAAATAACTACATGCTACAGTAATACAAAAAAAAAATGGAATTGAAAAAAGGAAACAAAACATAGATGCGATTTTCGTTGAAACTAAGGACATTGTCATTTTTTTCAATGTACATTTGAAAGGCACTGATGGCGACCGGTTCTGATTTATGGGGGATAACAATCTGTTTTGATATAAAAAAATGTATTGTAAATAGTTTGTGGACCAAAAAAAAAACGTTGGGAATATGAATGAGCGAGATAGGGGACATTTTATTTTGTGGATAGTAATCTCTTAAAATCCGATTTTCCGATAACATAGTTCAGGACCCTAACGGGGTTTGGGGCAAATTTTTAATGACGATACCAATATTTCAAAATCCGTCAGTGCCACATATATTTTAAATGGGACATATTTAAAAAAAACAAAAAAAACTAAGCCTATGTGCGTTACATGTGTTTTTAGGAAATGTCTCCAGTGTAGGTCAGATGTCTGAAAATATATTATTATTTAGAAAAAATATCTCAAAACCCAATGATGTAAGAAATTTAGATATCCATACATAGATGATTGATTTTTTTTTTAAAATTAACGAGTGATTAATTATCTGTTTCCTGAACAAATAATACAAGCTTGCAGTTTTTTTCGTAGTTTTTATTTTGGGATACAATGCATCTAAAATTGATTCAATGTGAAAATTGGGTTTTTAAATTTAAGACTCGGAAGGACAGGCGGAAAGGAGCGCAGTATGCCTTCAAGTATCACTCCGGTAACCGAAATTGCGACACTTTATTTGGAACACGGGCCTACTAGACATAGCGTTATAGCCATGCAGACCTACTTTAAGAATTATTATGTGTGATCTTTGAGGCCTTGTTCGTATTAATCTTGTAGGCTCTGGCCTGTTATGTCCTGGGGTCTGTGCTCAGAATAACATTGGAGCTTGCTTTACCTCAGCAACCCGTTGTTACGAAGGCCAGGTCAGTTCATGATGTTTTCACAAAGCTGTTTCATTTTTGTACATACACCAATGTAACAATCTGTAACCAGTGCTTAAAAAAATATATATATATATACATTTGTTGTTTAAGAGTACATCATGAAAGTAAAACACTGATGTTTTTCTCTCTAAAATAACAGATGAGATGTGTATTTTTAAAAATTCCTTTATATTAACTTCGCTTTTGTTCGCGTGGTCGTGTCAAAATCGTCAAAATGCTAATTGTTCCACTTTCCATTATCCTAACAGAAAAATAGGTATGAAGGATTTACACGAAAAACATAGTTTTCTTTTAGGGCTTCTTTAATCATTAACATCTTTCACACTGATGATTAACAATTTTAACGAGTTAATTTTCATTTGGTACAATTTATGTTCTTTGAATTTGTAAGTCAATGAAGATTGTACGTATAGCTTTGATTTTCTTTTCATTGCGGACGTCCAATAAGCGGTTGTGTGCTTAAACGTCCATTAATGCGTCAACTTATCTTATCGCCAGTTCTGCGAGGTCGGTGTTAACGATCAGCTGTCCGTCCAGGGGCATTGCAAAAACATACACGACTACCAGGTAAGAACTTGCAGACGTGCAACGAGAAGGAGATTAACGTACACCTCCCTATGGCCCTGGGGGGGGGGGGCCTCAGTCGTGACCTCAGTTGTTTCGCCAGGGTCAGAACACCTTAGTTTCAACCTGGCTCGTCTACGTCTTACCCCCCCCACCCCCCCTCTGGCCGTCCAGGGGCATTGCAAAAACATACACGACTACCAGGTAAGAACTTGCAGACGTGCAACGAGAAGGAGATTAACGTACACCCCCCTATGGCCCTGGGGGGGGGGGGACTCAGTCGTGACCTCAGTTGTTTCGCCAGGGTCAGAACTACTTAGTTTCAACCTGTCTCGTCTACGTCTTACCCCACCCCCACCCCCACCCTTTTTTTATCGCTGTTTTATGACGCTTGACTTGACTCAAATAACGGCAGTACGGCTCTCTTTTACTCTGGCAGTGTGAACAGGTGGGTGCAAGAAGAACGTTTGTCTTACGTCCGTTTCACATAACCTGGTTCAAGTGACACTTCAACCGTCGCTTTTGGCAGATCGTTACAATTTATTTATTTTTTTGTTTGTATTTTCTTACAACTTTAATTAATTTTTTTTGTTGGTGCGTTTGTACTGTTGAACAACTCACCAAATAAAATTTCTAAGAATAGATCGTCATTTTTTTACGTCACAATGCGTCATTGGCATCCCAGGCTGTCGCTGAACACATCCCGTTTTCACTATAGAAGGTCTGCTGGTTAAATGTCCAACTATGACCGCGTAATCATAAATTCATTTGAAAATTGCCTTCTTTCTTCTGAAAATACGTTTATTACATAAACGAAAACCTCCAAACATCTTTGTGACTATCAAAACACGCTTCTACACTCTGTAGACTTGACCACTGGTCAGTAAAGTTCATATCGCTTGGCGACCTCTTGTACTCGGATGATGTACGGCTTATTTCTTGTAGGAAAATATGGTGTGCGTCTATTATTTTAAGACGTTGATTTGTCACAAAAAAATATAATTTTGCTGACCTAATTTTCCAAAGGATAAATATTTGTTAGACCTGTGAATAGCGTATAATGAAAATATTGATGCTGATTGTAATTATCGTTGGATTCTTTAATATCCATGTGAAGATAACTAGAAATCCCAGAGATTATCCTAATAAAAGCGATGTCTTATTTTAACAGATAGCATTCCAAATGTAAGTGAAAAAAGTGAACTTTGGAAATGAAAAAACAACTTAAAAATAATCGCCGATTGAGACTTAAAATGTTAACAATATCATGTAAAATTAAGTCATGTTGTAGAGCCTGGACATTTTTATTTCGGATTATTCTAAAATAATTTTAAAATTCGATTCTAGGTTACACTAAAGAAATCTGAGATACATCTGTTTTAATTAAATTACTTTGTTTTTTGTTAATGCTTCCTGAAACCATGACATTTAAAAAAAAAAGAAATTCGGGTATCTTTAAAATAATATTTAGTTTACTAATTTTTAACAGAAAATAAAATTCACGTTTCCGTTCACAATCCCCAGAAATGCCTGACTGACCAAGCGAGAGACACTTGCACACTCTCTGTCGGACACGTCGGACACGCGGCCAAGTGTGTCTGGGATTGCTGCAACACGTCCAGCTGTCTCAACACGCATTTCGGTAAATGGCTGCATCCGGTGGCGTGGCTGGGTTCGTGCCGCCCGATGGGGGGGAGGGGGGGTGGCAACCTCAGCACCCCTACCGACACCCCTGGCTGCATCTGATGAATGCAATCGGCCACCTTAGCGGATTTGGGGTTTTGTGGGTGTATTTGTATGGGTGTGTGTGTGGGTGTGTGTGTGTGTGGGTGTGTGATAGCCTAAATTAAGATATCACCAAATGGACATATTTAAGAGGCTGTCTTTTTTTTGTTTTTGTGTGGCATATTAAGATCTCATTGTTATGTACATTCGTAATAGGCTGTCTTTTTTTTGTTTTTGTGTGGTATATTAAGATCTCATTGTTATGTACATTCGTAATAGGCTGTCTTTTTTTTTTTTTTTGTGTGGTATATTAAGATCTCATTGTTATGTACATTCGTAATAGGCTGTCTTTTTTTTTGTTTTTGTGTGGTTTATTAAGATCTCATTGTTATGTACATTCGTAAGAGGCTGCTATTTCTGTGAGATCTGTTCAGATAAAGTAGATTTGGCTGCAAAAAAATACTGCAGAAAAATGTAACCATTTTTTCAGGGGAAACTTGAACTTTTAAAACTTTTTTTTTGTTGTGTGAAGTTTATTTACATTTCAAAGAGACGACATATTTGGATTTTAACAACTTTTACTTTTGTAATTTAACCTTATCTTATCATTATTAATATTAATATTTGAAAAAAATAAAATGTTGTTTTCAAGCTACACTTTCAACTAAAAGCAACCCAATGAAATCTAAGCTTTTAACTTGAACTCCTGTACAATCCTATTTACTGTTTAAAAAAAAAACTTCCTTGTACTCCTCCAGGTGCCTACTGGAACACGGGGGCTTTTACAGCACAGAACCTGGGTAACGTAATTACTTATATCTTCAATAACCAGTTGTTTAAGTGTACGCTCGTCCGGCTCATCTACTGCACATCTTATGCACAATTAATTCACATCTACTGCACATCTTATGCATATTTAATTCACATCTACTGCACATCTTATGCACATTTAATTCACATCTACTGCACATCTTATGCACAATTAATTCACATCTACTGCACATCTTATGCATATTTAATTCACATCTACTGCACATCTTATGCACATTTAATTCACATCTACTGCACATCTTATGCACAATTAATTCACATCTACTGCACATCTTATGCACATTTAATTCACATCTACTGCACATCTTATGCACAATTAATTCACATCTACTGCACATCTTATGCACAATTAATTCACATCTACTGCACATCTTATGCACAATTAATTCACATCTACTGCACATCTTATGCATATTTAATTCACATCTACTGCACATCTTATGCACATTTAATTCACATCTACTGCAATCTTATGCACATTTAATTCCCACCTACTGCACATCTTATGCACAATTAATTCACATCTACTGCACATCTTATACATATTTAATTCACATCTACTGCACATCTTATGCATATTTAATTCACATCTACTGCACATCTTATGCACATTTAATTCACATCTACTGCAATCTTATGCACATTTAATTCCCACCTACTGCACATCTTATGCACATTTGATTCACATCTGCTGCGCATCTACTACACCTTTTTCACTAGGATTCTTAAACTTCTGAGATTACGTGCTAATGGCTGAACGAAAAAAACAACTTCGCTAACAAGTTTTTACTAAATCTAAAAAGTGTTGGACTGCAATAAAGCTTTAAAATAAATTAATGAGACAGGAATAAATTGTGTCAATATAACAATATCAGTTACGCTTTAATAATAATTATACATTATACACAAGTAAACGTTTCGGCACAAACAAAACACATTTAAGCCCAACCTCTCACTTCTGGTACCCGGGTGCGAATAGTCACTTCCTAAAAGAAAAGATAAAATGTATCCATGTCAGTGATTTTCAACTGGGATACTCCGCTGCCTGGTTTGCTCCGACTTTCAACTAAGCGAGCCATTCCGTAGATTAAAGCACTGGACTAAACACGATCAATAGGGTTTGTCATCTAATTGCCGACATCTATTAATAGAGCATCCGGGCGTACAGTCTGGCCAATCTCATGAAGGCATTAATGAAACATCCTGGTATTCTGTTTGGCCAATCTCTCAACAGCAGTTCGACACTTCTACGTTAATGTGTCAACATAGTGGGACTCAACCTGGACGAAAACGTTTTTACAACTGTATTTCACGAAAGAATTTACAATCCAATTTCTACTGCTATATTTCTATGGAAATCAATTGTTAGAAGCTATGCGTTACGAAAACATTGTCTAAAAATAGTAACATTACGTAATGTGCTGTGACGTTTTCCGCTCTATTGTATAAACGTGAAGCTGTTTCTCTGCTAACTATAAGCTTCTTTTAAGCGGTCCAGTTCTTTACTTAGTATCTCAAGGTCTTCAGCCGTATTGCATTTACTGGACTCGTTTCCAAATCGATATTTTTAAACTGTCGATGAATGGGATACAAATGTATCTTTCTTTATATAATGTCATCTTGCAATCTTAGAGACCAGCAAACCAAATATATGTAATCAAATTTTTAAAATTGTTTTTTTTAAAACTCTGATCAAAATTTGTTTTTGAAAATAATTAAATCCCAGGTCACATTTACTGCGGGGAATGTGCTGACGGATCTTGCTCCCTTGCTGGCCAAACCAAAAACGTTTCATGTGACACGGGTATGTGCTCTTGGACAGTTCACAATAGACTGGACGGTGGATCCACAGTATCCAGCGGGTGAGTAGTCTGATACTCTAAAAAGCAACAACTTTTCTTACCCATAGCAAATGTTCAAATTTGTTTGAAAATGTACAGACGTGCATGAGAAACTTGTGTATCACAGTCAGCGATGTGGTACAGGCGTACATGAGAAGAACTATCTCTCAAAGTCAGAGATGCGTTACATGCATATATATTAGAAGAACTTTCTCTCACTGTCAAAGATGCGATACACACACATATGAGAAGAACTGTCGCTCTAAATCAGAGATGCGTTACACCCCATATCAGAGTTAACGTTTAAAAAACCCAGACAATGCCGCCCTCTCCACCTCCTTACCTGTCTGCCTGCCTGCCTGCCTGCCTGCCTCCCTACCTTCCTACCTATCTACCTACCTACCTGCCTACTTGCCTACCTACCTACCTACCTACCTACCTACATACCTACCTACCTACCTACCTACCTACTTACCTACCTACCTACCTACCTACCTACCTACCTACCTACCTACCTATCACATGTAAATTCATCAAATAGGTTACAATCGAGTCACTCTATTTATGGAGAATGTCTGACTCAAAGACCAAAAAGCCTGTCAATTGCTGACGTCGTAGGTGGGGCGGGGCTTGTTACAGAGAGGCGTGCGTATCGGGGGTTCGATCTTTATTGTCCACAAACAAGACAAGGGCGCATGACAACCTAAGGTCCTTGAAAACATAGGATACCTTTTGTTCACAGTAGTTCGTAGCACTCTATTTAATTGCAAAATTTGATTATTTGTTGATTAGACATTACTTGCTTTTATTATAAGAGTAACGAATCATGATGACATATGTTATATCCCTTTTTTTTTGTTTTGTTACAGAACTACTAAAGTAAGCGCGTTAATCAAACATCTGAATACAAATTAAGGTGTATCTTGATTTCGTATTAAATATTTCAGCTGTACCTCACAGAATCAATGCTGGACTCAGTGGTGGGAGCAGACTAGACACAATCAATACTGCATGGACCAGTTCATGTTCGGAGCATCTCCCAATCAGAACCTCGATTGCACCTTTTGCTGTCATGCCTCCTACGACTGCAACATAGGGACCAAATACCGTAACCAGCTCGTCCATTGGTAATGACAGGAGATGCTACCAGCCTACATTGCCACACGCTAGCAATCTTCTCTAATATTGCAATGTGATGTCCATCCAGTGATGAGTCGATTCTTAGAAAAGTCTGCCAGGAAACGATTCTTTCCGCGAAACTGAGCTATTCTTGAGCTATCTTTTGATCGTTTTAAAATTTCGATTGTATTCAAAACATAAATAAATGAACATTTCAATAAATATTTTTAAAATATACATTTGCTCTCAGGCAATATTAATCAGCCTTTTGTATATCACATTACTTACTCGTACCAACTATGACATTACCCGTGGTATGTAAATGTAACATTGGTCCCCGAAAGTGTTGTATGTAAGTGTAACAGTGGTCCCCAACAATGTTGTCAGTAAATGTAACAATGATACCCTACGATGTTGTATGCGAATGTAATAGTGGTCCCCGAAAGTGTTGTATGTAAGCGTAACAGTGGTCCCCGACAATGTTGTCAGTAAATGTAACAATGATACCCTACGATGTTGTATGTGAATGTAACAGTGGTCCCCGACAATGTTGTATGTAAATGTTACAGTGATACCAGACAATTTGCATGTTTGAAGAAAAGAAGGACGAGCGTTTAAAAAAAAAAAGAAATTATAATTTTTATTTCACCCAACTCGCCAATGTCCTATATCTACAAGGAATCCCTTTTATGAAACCAATTGTAATTGATCAAATAATAAAATAGAAGGAAAGGGTATGCGTAAGCTGAATTAAGAACTATTTCTTGTCCATTTTCTCTTCTGTCCTGTCTGATGAGGAAGGCTCTTGGCCGAAACAATCTCGTCTTACTTTCCTATTTCTTAATTCAAGATAATTGAAACAACTTGTTCTGCTGTTAGCTTCACACAGCTTGAACGCATTCCTTCATTGAAACAACTTGTTCTGCTGTTAGCTTCACACAGCTTGAACGCATTCCTTCATTGAAACAACTTGTTCTGCTGTTAGCTTCACACAGCTTGAACGCATTCCTTCATTGAAACAACTTGTTCTGCTGTTAGCTTCACACAGCTTGAACGCATTCCTTCATTGAAACAACTTGTTCTGCTGTTAGCTTCACACAGCTTGAACGCATTCCTTCATTGAAACAACTTGTTCTGCTGTTAGCTTCACACAGCTTGAACGCATTCCTTCATTGAAACAACTTGTTCTGCTGTTAGCTTCACACAGCTTGAACGCATTCCTTCATTGAAACAACTTGTTCTGCTGTTAGCTTCACACAGCTTGAACGCATTCCTTCATTGAAACAACTTGTTCTGCTGTTAGCTTCACACAGCTTGAACGCATTCCTTCATTGAAACAACTTGTTCTGCTGTTAGCTTCACACAGCTTGAACGCATTCCTTCATTGAAACAACTTGTTCTGCTGTTAGCTTCACACAGCTTGAACGCATTCCTTCATTGAAACAACTTGTTCTGCTGTTAGCTTCACACAGCTTGAACGCATTCCTTCATTGAAACAACTTGTTCTGCTGTTAGCTTCACACAGCTTGAACGCATTCCTTCATTGAAACAACTTGTTCTGCTGTTAGCTTCACACAGCTTGAACGCATTCCTTCATTGAAACAACTTGTTCTGCTGTTAGCTTCACACAGCTTGAACGCATTCCTTCATTGAAACAACTTGTTCTGCTGTTAGCTTCACACAGCTTGAACGCATTCCTTCATTGAAACAACTTGTTCTGCTGTTAGCTTCACACAGCTTGAACGCATTCCTTCATTGAAACAACTTGTTCTGCTGTTAGCTTCACACAGCTTGAACGCATTCCTTCATTGAAACAACTTGTTCTGCTGTTAGCTTCACACAGCTTGAACGCATTCCTTCATTGAAACAACTTGTTCTGCTGTTAGCTTCACACAACTTGAACGCATTCCTTCATTTACTATCCTTTATTCTTTGACAAAAGAAAATCCCTACTATTCAATTAAGCGCTCAAAGTCGATTCTCTCAAAACTAAATTTCCTAGATGTTGCCAAAGGTGTACACAAAATACCGATACAAATTCTCTCGTTGCCTATCGAATATTTTATTAATCAATTATTAATATCTGATTTCAATCTATGACCACTTCAGTTTTCATCACCCATCTGTTTAGGTCCGCCTGTGACCTGTGATGCACCCTCCTTGCCCTGCCTCATTTTCTGTCTCGGGTTGATCCTGTAGTATAGGCCAAAACGTGCCAAAATGTCCTCGTTTTATAGCAATTTTAATTGTTTCTATAGTATAGTAGTTACTATCCTAATGTCTCTGGTTTTTCATTTTTTTATTTTACCTAGTGGACATGTTTTTAATAATTATAAAGCGCTTAGAGCTTTAAGGTAAGCGCTTTATACAAATGCCTAAATAAATAAATACGGTTACATAAAGGTGAAATCTATTTCTGAGTGTTTGACTCCATAGGGACAGTAGATCACCTACGGTAGGGGACCACCAAACCACGGCCCGCGACGTCAATTCACGCGGCCCGCCGAAGGTACTTTTATTTGTTTGATCAACGTATGGAACAGGAGACGTTGCGATACACTGTAAATATTATGTTTAGAATCCTAGGAGATCTTGTCACGTGCGGAGAGAGACCTCCTGGCTACTTTGCGTCTTAAATTTACCAGTTTAAAATTTAAATTATTGTAACTAGATCTTGTTGTTTATTGCAGACCTGTTTACCCTCGAATTCCTAAAAATCGAACACCACGGTATCTTAATTCAGTATTTATAATGATTACATCTGCTCGCAACGTAGGTTAATTATTTACCCATTTTATTCCTTTATTCCGTTGCGTATCTTGCGCTGCTCGGGGGTAAAATTAAATAATCAAACTCCCCCCCCCCTCCACTCCCCAAAGATTTTAATAAAAATTAATAAAACCATCAACGGTATTGTAGCCAATACGTGAACAAAATCACATAATTTTCACCCCATCAGTTTGTTCTTATTTGGATGAGTTACACATTCATTAGTGAGTGCTATTTGGCTATGGAGTTTCGCTGCACTGATTGACTTATACGGCATTTTCTTATTAAATTATTTTGAAAAGTTAAGTTTTTTTTTTTGCTTTATATTTGGCAATTAAAAATAAGTCAAAAACGTATTAAATTTAAAAGATACGAACTTAAAATTTGGTGTATTTAGGCAAATTGTGCTACGGCGTCATTTGTTTGCTATTTAGAACAAATTAATTCAATTTCATTTTGCAATATTAACAAAACACACTAAAAATGCAATAACAGAATCAGATGTTTGGGTTTAACATATCAATGAGACTATGATTTAATTTTTTGATCATTATTTAAATAATATTTATTGATATATATTATATATTATATATATAAATATATATATATATGACTTAGCTCTGCTGACATGACTCTAAAGAACCGAAACGATTTAGGTGCGTTCGTATTGTTAAAACAATGATAGTTGTTTTCTATTATTTTAGGAAAATCGAATATTTAAATGCGCAAAAAAAAAAAAAAAATAAATTCGCTTTTATTTTAGTAAAAATTTTAGTATTATTATTATANCTATTTAGAACAAATTAATTCAATTTCATTTTGCAATATTAACAAAACACACTAAAAATGCAATAACAGAATCAGATGTTTGGGTTTAACATATCAATGAGACTATGATTTAATTTTTTGATCATTATTTAAATAATATTTATTGATATATATTATATATTATATATATAAATATATATATATATGACTTAGCTCTGCTGACATGACTCTAAAGAACCGAAACGATTTAGGGGTGTTCGTATTGTTAAAACAATAAAAGTTGTTTTCTATTATTTTAGGAAAATCGAATATTTAAATGCGCAAAAAAAAAAAAAAAATAAATTCGCTTTTATTTTAGTAAAAATTTTAGTATTATTATTATATATTACAAAAGCATTTAAAGTAACCAATAATGAATTATTTTAAGCTTTTTATCCGATTTTAAAAGTTATGAACACAAAATTTAATGGAAAAAAAGTAATGATCTAAGAAATATACGCATTATTTTGTTTTACTATATCGTATAGTGCGTTGAAAAAGAAATTTAACGCAAAATTAGATCGTGTGAACTGAGAAAAAAATTGGATCAAATTTTTGTTCGACAGAATTGCTGTCGATCAATTTCTTTAATAGTTGCATAATAATTATATAAAAAATAATGTATGTATGTATGCATGTTCCGTATGCGCTCCTTTACCATTGATCCGATAGCGAGTGAGTTTTGTGAGTTTTTGTACACATACAACAAAAGTTTCTGAATTATTAAACACATTTTATAAACATTCTGTTTTTGCCCGGGGCCCATTTTTTTTTCTTCCCTTACATTTCTTTTCTCTCCCTAGTTTCAAAAGTCGTTATTTATTTATTTATTTAGGCACTTTTATATAGCGCTTACCATAAAGCTCTAAGTGCTTTACAATTATGAAAAACATGTAAACTAAGTAAAATAAAAAGGAGACACTAGGACAGTAACTACTATACTATAAAAACAATGAAAATGGCTATACAACGAGGACACTTTGACACGTTTTGGCCTATACTTTAGGATCAACCCGAAACAGAAAATGAGGCAGGGCAAGGAGGGTGCATCACAGGTCATAGGCGGACCTAAACAGATGAGTTTTAAGGGACTTCTTGAAAATGGACGAGGTTTCACAATGACGGATATGGAAGGGGAGCTGGTTCCAGAACGTGGGCCCATGGAAGCAGAAGGAGCGTTCACCGATGGTCTTAGTTTTGGTTCTTGGGATTGAGAGGGTTCTACTGTCAATGGAAGAACGTAGTTGTCTTGTGGGGATGTAAGGAAGCAACAGTTCAGAGAGATAGACAGGAAATTTGGCAGACTTGTATTTGATGCGAGAGGATATTGGAAGCCAGTGGAGTTGCCGCATGTGTGGTTGAATGTGGTCATGTTTCTTTGATTTAAAAATGAGTCTGCATGCTGAGTTCTGTGCCTTCTGAAGTTTTTCTAAGTGGTGTTGAGGAATGCCTGCGAGAAGAGTGTTACAGTAGTCAAATTATACACGGAGAGAACCGATAAGCCTATAAGTGCCATAAATTACGTCATTACAAGTTCGTTCAAAATCAAAATAATTTATCACACACCCACCAAAATAAATTGTATAATTTTTATCGGGGCCCTAAAAGGGATAGGGTTCCAAAAATGTGCGGGGCCCCTAAAGGTCTCAGGGCTTCAAAAAGTCATATGTCCCCCTAAAAGGCACGGATCCCTAAAAGACCAAAGGCCACTAAAAGGTACGGGCTGCTAAAAGGCCCAAGGCCACTAAAATACATTGGGCGCCAAATAGCATAGGGCCCCTAAAAGGCCCAAAGCCACTAAAAGGCCCAAGGCCACTAAAATACATTGGGCGCCAAATAGCATAGGGCCCCTAAAAGGCCCAAAGCCACTAAAAGGCACAGATCCCCTGGGCATGTGCATCATAAGCCTTTAGGCTAATCCAGCACTGCTTGATATCACCTCGCCTGGTGTACAATATGTGTACGGTGTGTGTACCAGGCTTAAGATTCGACACATTTCACGTAGTAAAATAGTTGCTCTAGTTCAGAAATTGCTTGCTCCCCTCCAGCCCACCAGCTACGCTCTTGGAGTAAGTCACCGAGACGTCTTATCTTAAAATGTGTCTTGATTTATGAACAGCACTAAACCTCGCTTGTCACGTGCACATTTGTGTATGTCCTGAAATCATTTGTATTTGCGTGTCACGTACACATATTTTTATGTCCCATAATTAGTTGTTTTAACAAAATTACTGACTTTTATTTCTAGGTAAAAACGGTCAAATTATAACATATATTATTTGTTATATTATTTGTTTTAATGTATAAGCGCGATGTTAAAAAAAGAAGTAATTTCAGTGAACACGAAAATGAAATCTGTTTTTGTATTATTGTCTATTGTATTGTATTTTTGTGGCATTGTTTATACTATTGTTTATTGCACTGCTTATTGTACTGTTAATAGTATTGTTTATATCATTTTCATAGTAATTGTCATATAATTGCTTATAGTATTGTTCATGTTATTGTTTTATGATATTGTTTATACTATTGTTTATAGTATTATTAAAAAAAAAATTTTTTTGTATTGTTCATAGCATTTCTTATAGTACTGTTTATATTGTTTCGTACACTATTGTTCACGGTATTTTTTATTGTATTGTTATACCAAGTGACTGACTGTTATGAGCCAGGAATTACCAGTTCAGAAGCTTCGATTTCTAATGGTGTAATTCAATTACTTAACAAAAATAATGTTGCATAGAAAAAACAATCCTTTTTTTAAATGTGCTACTCCTTTATTAACTACTCCATCACTGCTATCATTTCCAAAACAACTGCCATTCCACAAAAAAAACAAAAAAAAACGTAATTTCCCCTAACACAGTTACGACACAAAATCCCACTATATAGCAACAGCCACACACATACTCCCTGAGCCAAACGCGCAATCCCAAAACCTCTTAGGATTCACAACTCCTCATTAAATCTAGTTCACAACACTGACCTAATTTTTATTTAAATATATTTAGTTTATTTCTATAATCCATGTCATGTTCTTTGATTGATCAATCCGTAGTTTTGTTAATTACCAGTAAAGTTTGACCAAAGAATAAATAAATCAACTCTTACGTCTCTGTGTGGTTCGATCAAAGAAGCCAGATTTAACAATGTAAAAAAAGGCCATTTTAAAAGTTTTAATTACTGTGATGAGATAGTAAACCAGTATTCGTAGATGCGTGAAAGGTAATAGAGCAATCACGAAAAATGGTTGTTGTTTTTTTTTCGAATCAATCCTTTCTTTTATTATTGTTTTTTATTTATGTTCTAATGACCCACCCGATTTGAAGACGCAAATTTATTTCGCCCACTACTTGAGAAGAGCCACAAAAAAAAGAAGAAAAATCACGCATCAAACGCAGTTTTAAAAGAATCTCATATGGCAGAGTTATCAGAAATTTTATTTCGTGAAACTAGTGGCATCATATTTCCTTCATCTTCCCCTTAAACAACAAGGAAAAACCTGTAATTTTTCAAAACACATGTAGATTATTAACAATTAAAATAGAAATGTAGGGGAATTCAGGACTATCCGTTATAGAAAATGTGTCCGATTTCATAATTGATGGGATATGGCTTTAAAATCTGGATTAATTTGTTTTTTATTCTTCGTTCTCACCAGCGCGTTGTAAACAACAACAACAATAACACAACAACTGTGCAATGGTTGTTAAATCTGATGTGCCTTTGTCCTGTCATGATGGCACCATCTGTTAGGCTTTTGTTTTGTTGTGATGGCAAAATCTGTCAGGCCTTTGTTTTGTCGTGATGCCAACATCTGTTAGGCCTTTGTTTTGTCGTGATGCCAACATCTGTTAGGCTTTTGTTTTGTTGTGATGGCAAAATCTGTCAGGCCTTTGTTTTGTCGTGATGCCAACCAACATCTGTTAGGCCTTTGTTTTGTCGTGATACCAACATCTGTTAGGCCTTTGTTTTGTCGTAATGCCAACATCTGTTTGGCCTTTGTTTTGTCGTGATGCCAACATCTGTTAGGCCTTTGTTTTGTCGTTATGCCAACATCTGTCAGGCCTTTGTTTTGTCATGATGCCAACATCTGTTAGGTCTTTTTTGTTGTTGTGATGGCAACTTCTGATTAGCTTATGTTTTGTCGTGATGGTGACATCCGATTTTCCTTCTTCCTGTCGTGATGGTTACATCTGATGAGCCCTTTTCTTGTCGTGATGGTAACTTGTGATGTGTCCTATGTTATGATGTAATAGTTTTTTTTATTTTGGGTTGTCTTTTTCTTTTCGTGATGGATACATCTGATTTGGGATAAGAATTACATTTAGTCTAGTTTGATTAAAGGAAACGTAATATATATATATAATATTTAAGTGATGCATTTTAATTCTTTATTTAACATTCAAAGTCACGGTTACATTATTGTTTAAAATTCATCATAAGATCATTATTTTATTAACATTACTTAAAATGGAAATTTTTAGTTTAAGAAAAAATAATACTTTTTTCTAAAACATAATACTTAAGTGAAACATTTTTTAAATTATTATAAAAGAGCTAATTTATGTTACGTTCTTAAAAAAAAACATATATTAAAAAAAATACCAAACAGTGAACAGTTTTTTTTTGTTATCTGCACCAAGGATATTGTTTGTTTTTTTGTAAAAGATAGTTACAAGGCCAAATAAAATGACAAGATCACCAAGTGGTCTGCTAGTTAATTGACCTGGCCCCGGCCCCACTATTTAAAAAAAAAAAAAAAAAAAAAAAAAATTCATAACTTGATTATACAAAAAAATGAACCACATTTTTATGTTTGTACATGATAATTATATAATTTATAAGGGTCGACTGTCTTATCTGATAAGGAAGATAAGATTTACACCAAAAACGACGTCCGAACACGTCTGTAGGTAACAGGACATTGCTTCGTAATTTGCCTGGTAATTCTTGTTGATCAGAAATGTCAGCCATGAACATTCTGGCTGTCATGTCACTTTTTCTTGTGTTAGGTTTGTAGTTACTTCTTATTCATTTCAATTAACATTTTCTAAATTAAAGTGACAACGTGTCGCCTCAAGGTTTTTTCCAATGTGTTGTCTCAATGTGTTGTCTTAATGTGGTTTTTCAACGTGTTGTTCCAATGTGATGTTCAAATGTGTTTTCGCACTGTGTTCTTTCAATTTGTTATTCCAATGTGTTGCTTCACAGTGCTGTTGCAATATTTTGGTGTAATATTTTTTACGATGTGTTGTGGCAATGTTTTTGCCTACAAATTTGATAGGATAATTTTTTTAACTATTCATTGCTTAAAATTACAATGTTTTGTGACCCCCCAAAAAATATTGTAATAATCCTGTGATAATGTTTATCAACAAATGAGTCATAGTCATATGGACTTCATAGAAAAGTCTTTACAGTTAGTAGAAATCAATAGTTCAATAGGTTTATTTAAGAATTAGCTGTTACAAAATCAATATCTAAGACCACATGTTCTCCTAGGCCAACAATAGAATCCTCCCTGATTAACTAATGATGTGCGCTAAAAACTATGTAAACATGTTAACCAACGTTAAATTTACGTGGAGCTTATGTGATATTTGTGATGAAAAGGTTTGTTGATCATTCTTCAAATGCAAAAAATGGAAAATTGTATCATGGATGCGTCTAGGCAGTTGGCGGTTTGAATCCTATTCGAGCCGTGAACACCAATCAGCATGTAGGGCACACTTGTTTTTGGTCCACGTGGGATCTATTCTCTTGGTGTACGCTTTGTTTGTGCGTGGAGCATTATTTACTCTTTGAAAAGTATGCTCCAGCAATGCTTCTTCTCGAGCAATGCGCCTTCTCCATCAATGCGCCTTCTCCATCAATGCGCCTTCTCCATCAATGCGCCTTCTCCATCAATGCGCCTTCTCCATCAATGCGCCTTCTCCATCAATGCGCCCACTCCAGCAATGTGCCTCTCCAGCAATACGCCAACTCCAGCAAAGAGCCAAATACAGCAGTGAACTTACAGTAAATTTTAACGTAAAAATAGTTGCATCTTTCCTCACTTGCTGTACATTAAAAAAAAAAACAACAAAAAAAAAGTTTGTTTTGACAACACGATGTACTTTGAAAATTTTAGATTCGCAAATCGTGGCATCTTTAACCTGCTTTAACTGCGATGGTCATGGTCATCCCTTCCCTGCATGCCTTGCAGCACCCATCACGTGCCACCCTGGAGAGGTAAGGGGTTAACGTGTTCGTATAGATGTGTTGATATAATGATGGGCGGAGCTATACAATGACATATGAGACAGTGACACATGCTACAATGACACATGCTACAATGACACATACTACAATAACACATGCTACAATGACACATGCTACAATGACACATGCTACCATGACACATTCTACAATGACACATGCTACAATGACACATGCTAAAATGGCATATACTACAATGACACATACTACAATGATCTATACTACAATGACACACGCTACAGTGACACATACTACAATGACACATGCTACAATGACACATGCTACAATGACACATGCTGCAATGACATATGCTACAATGACACATGCTACAATGACATATGCTAAAATAGTATTCGCCTTTGGGATTATAGGGTGTGGGTGGGGTGGTAAAAATGGTGATTGGAGATATCGGGATACTTGCAGAAACTAAGACTGTGTGAAGTCAGAGAGAGAGAGAGAGAGAGAGAGAGAGAGAGAGAGAGAGAGAGAGAGAGAGGGGAGAGAGAGAGAGAGAGAGAGAGAGAGAGAGAGAGGAGAGAGAGAGAGAGAGAGAGAGGGGAGAGAGAGAGAGAGAGAGAGAGAGAGAGAGAGGGGAGAGAGAGAGAGAGAGAGAGAGAGAGAGAGAGAGGGGGGAGAGAGAGAGAGAGAGAGAGAGAGAGAGAGAGGAGAGAGAGAGAGAGAGAGAGAGGGGAGAGAGAGAGAGAGAGAGAGAGAGAGAGAGAGGGGAGATAGAGAGAGAGAGAGAGAAAGTAAGAAAGAAAGATTAGGCGGGAAACGATTAGAAAATAGAATAAAATAGCAAGTGAGAGAGAGGGGAGAGAGAGAGAGAGAGAGAGAGAGAGAGAGAGAGGAGAGAGAGAGAGAGAGAGAGAGGGGAGATAGAGAGAGAGAGAGAGAGAGAGAGAGAGGGGAGATAGAGAGAGAGAGAGAGAAAGTAAGAAAGAAAGATTAGGCGGGAAACGATTAGAAAATAGAATAAAATAGCAAGAACGTATGGATTGGCGATTCAGCTTGTAGAGTGAGCGACAGAGAGAGGCCGATACACAAACACACACACACACAGAGCGAGAGAGAGATAGAAGAGAAAATTATATGATTATTTTAAAAAACTTAATTCAAATTGTCCAAAGAAAAGTAGGAATGAAATATGGAGATTATATAATTAAGACTAAGTTAGGTGCCTTTTGAATGCTGAAAGAGAAGCCTACTTTAATTACAAATGGCAAGCCTACTTTGATTACTCATGGCAAACCTACTTTGATTACCCATGGCAAGCCTACTTTAATTCCCCATGGCAAGCCTACTTTAATTACAAATGGCAAGCCTACTTTGATTACCCATGGCAAACCTACTTTGATTACCCATGGTAAGCCTACTTTGATTACCCATGGCAAGCCTACTTTAATTCCCCATGTCAAGCCTACTTTAATTACAAATGGCAAGCCTACTTTAATTACCCACGGCAAGCCTATTTTGATTACCCATGGTAAGCCTACTTTGATTACCCATGGTAAGCCTACTTTAATTCCCCATGGCAAGCCTACTTTAATTACAAATGGCAAGCCTACTTTGATTACCCATGACAAGCCTACTTTGATTACCCATGGTAAGCCTGCTTTAATTACTCATTGCAAGACCCCTTTAACTACCCATGGCAAGCCTAATTTAATTTCAAATAGTATATAATAATTTCAAAACAACTTGCTTCCAATTTCACGTAACCTGGACACAAGTCATGCGAACCCCTCTATAGTAGGACAGGTCATCCTTTCTCGTTACATTTGATTTTACTGTAAGCCTTGAATGGGCAAAAAAAAAAAAAAGGGTACGTTTCGATTTTTGTTTCCAGGTTCTTGCTTCCAATTTCACGTAACCTGGACACAAGGCATGCGAACCCCTCTATAGTAGGACAGGTCATCCTTTCTCGTTACATTTGATTTTACTGTAAGCCTTGAATGGGCAAAAAAAAAAAAAGTGTACGTTTCGATTTGTGTTTCCAGGTGTGTTCAGTGGTCTACGGAAGTGGTCAGCCAGTGATGAAATGCATGAAAGAACTGGTAAGTCCACCAAAACGCTGACAAGTTTCTTGACTCATGATTTCATTAAAACGTTTAAAAACAGGCGTAAATAAAATAACAATAGTCGCCATGGAGGGATAATCAAGTTTTTTAAATATTTTTTTCAATAGAAGACTTTTTATGATTTTTACTTGCCATATAAACACAATAAAGATTAGTATAAACAAGTTGCTTCTAAAGCTAGATCCCATCAAACATTTTTAGATTTAATTATGTTAGTGTTATTCCTTTTGTTTGTGTCACACTTATTCATTCTTTAAAAAAAAAAAAGCCTAGAAGACATTATCATTATTATTTAATAAGGAATATTATTAGCGTGTGTAGAGTTACCGTTGGGGTATATCTGGCTGTTACTTCAAGTGTAATCATCATTTGGCTTGATTATCGGTGTGTTGGAAAGCATGTGAAATTTTCCTATAGGTAACACGAAGGTAAGGCCCGCCATTTCTGTTTTTTTTTTTTTAAAACAGGATTGTAGCAGGATTGTCTCCAATTCTCTTGGAGCATGCGCAGGAGGCGGGGTTAAAATCCAACATGACAGATGCGAGCTTTGCTGTCACACGAGTGACTGTGTCGATGACGTAGTACTCCACATACAACAGACAATCGGTATGTTTACGTAAAACGTCATTTAGATCAGAGAACTATGTGATTAAAAAACAACAACACAACACGATATTGGGCCATCTCTTCACACACCAGCAATCGCATCACATACGCTCAAATGTATCACATAACAAAAATTATCTCAGGCGCCCAATCCTATCACACAATCAATTACACCCCAACGCTATTCGATGGCATAAAGTGTAAACAATCCAAACAAGGATGTCGTAAAATCCCTGATCTAGATGTCCTCAACTAACTAATAAAACCTCTCTCCATCTATAACAGTGGTTCTCAACCTTTCTTGTGCCGCGACCCTCTAATACAGTTTCTCGTGTCGTGGCGACCCCCGGCCACATAATTATTTTTCTTGCTACTTCCTAGCTGTAAGGATATGTGTTTTCAGATGGTCTTAGGCGACCCCCTGGGAAAGGGTCACGCGAAACCCAAGGGGGTCGCGACCCACAGGTTGAGAACCGTTGATCTATAAAATAAAAATCTCTTCTCTCCAGCTACAAAAAAAGCCTCCACAAACCATGTTCGCTCTTTTTACTCACAAAAAATATAAACCACATTTTATTTTGGAAGCCTAATAATACTTTCAGTTTAACAAATCATTTCATCGTTCATACATTTAAATAACTAAAATATCTTCTTTCATACAGCACTAGTGTTGATTGTCAATTATTTCGTTGTCTGAATGTCTTATGATCTTTGCAATTTTTTCCATGGCGTGTACTCCTTGGTCATACCGCGGACTGGTTAGGTTCAAACAACACCAAAGGTTCATGGTACATAATGCGTTCTATTTTGACAGAGCTAAAAAAAAAATCAACTTGGTTCACATTGAAAATGAGACATGTATTCATGAGCAGAAAAATAATTTCCGCAGGCAAAAAGTTCCGCAATCCAATCCCAAAATACTATTCCGCTCTTTTGCTCGCTCTGTCTCACACACTGACTCTCTAGATCCCTAAGCTCACTCTGACGCTCAACAGCGTCGTCTCCCATTGTCTCAAGCACCAGTCACGCACCCGGTCCATGACTTAAAAAGAGTTCACAACTCGTTCACATAAAGCCATTGTCACACCATCACAACACACACTCTACCTCTGATTCCATTGACATTAATGAAATGTTAATAAATTGTCGTACTAGACACGAACAATTTGTGTCCATATAACAACACATGTTTAGCTTTAATAATAATTTTACATAATTCACAAGTGCACTCGTGTATTATGAAAAAAATATCATGAACGCTAAACATGTTGTTACAAGGACACACATTGTTCGTGTCTAATTAATCTATTTTAAAGCTTTAAGGGAGTTCAACACTCTATAATAATTTGTCGCTTATATTCACTCACGCATACACATCGTAGATCCGGGGTTGTATTGTCCAGGGCCGTGTTCAAGGTTTGATCTGTCCACGTGTACGACATCTGGTACACAATGTCTTGCAGGCCAGGTAGGTCTTAAAATGTTATCGAGTACACTTTTGATGTCCAAAAACACTGAACACTTACCAAACTAATTAGAGCGACGTTGATGTGCTAATGGTTAAAGCATTTTACCCCACTAGTTAGAGCCACATTGGGTTAAAATACTTTATCACACTTATCAGAGCCACGTTGGTGTTCTAATTGTTAAAGCCTTTTACCACACTAACTAGAGCCACATTGATTTCCTAGGGGTTAAAACACTTTACCACACTAATTAGAGCCATGGTGGTGCTCTAATGGTTAAATTACTTTACTACACTAAATAGAGTGACGTTAGAGTTCTCGTGGCTGAAACACTTCATTACACTAATTAATGTCACTGTGTTGCTTTAGTGGTTTAAGTATTTTACTACAATAATAAGATCCAGTTGGTGTTCCAGTGTTTAAAAAATAAATATACTATTCTGAAAATTATGCTAAAGTACCATGACATTTTAAGGAACGATTGACAAACTCACTCACTGCTCATGTTCCCATGTCTACAGTTTTGTCGTGTCACTGTCAACGATCATTATGTCATCCATGGACAGTGTTTGAACATCCACGAGCACCAGGTGAGTAGACACCCTAGGCTCAAGACACCCTAGGCTCAAGACACCCTAGGCTCAAGACACCCTAGGCTCAAGACAGTCTACGGTCAAAGAAGCTAATGATAAACTATACTTTAACGGAAGGAATAATTATAATTGAATAACTCTTTAATAAAGTTATCAAGTTTTGTACAAGGATATATCCAAAGTCATAAAGTTATTACGTTGAATACAAGTATTTATCAAAGTTTCCCAAGTCAGCATAGTCACACAAAAAAGTGGATACGCCCAGAGGCATCACTAGTTTTGGTGTCACACGATACAGTAAATTCCCTTCACAATCACCCAACCCCCTCCCACTCATTCGGTATCCCCAACACCCCGATAATTATTAACTATATCATATAGAATACCTTATAGTATTGTTTGTAAACTAAGTAATTAAGCAACGACAAGAAATACTTCCGGAGCAAAGGCAGAACTTGATATACACTGTGTACAAAATGCATCAACATTACTTACTATGGCAACATTAATGTCTACAGTTAAACTTCACTTTTCTGGTCTTCAAAGATAGAGACCTTTCATTTACTTTAACAAGTTAACATTGTTCATCTTATCACTTAACTGACGAAAACTAAAGACCAGATAGAATGACGCGTTTGCTGGTGGATCACCAATAACTCTTTATACGTTTCATTTTTGAAAAGATTCTCATCTATGACAGCTTAATTTTGTGGGATGTTTGTATTCTTGCATAGCACAGCTGCAGCGAACCAAATGAATTCTACGGCCACTGCAGTAAAGACTCGATGTAAAAAAGAAATAGTTCATTTTTCAATATCTTTATAACTGTTGCGCATAAATAATAATCCCAATACTACCCCCCCAACCCCCCCCCCCCCAAAAAAAAAGAAAAAAACAAACATTTAAATTTATTCATGAGACAGATATTGAAATACAAAATAGATCAACAACAACAAATACTTTGAGAACCACCTAAATTTGTGTTTATATTGATGTATATTTGTGAGTTGAAACTGTATTGATTTATATCTTAAGAAATCTCTTGGGTCAGAATCATTGACTAGAAAAAAAACCACCAACTGAATCCCAACAATACATCTTTTTAGAAATGTTTCTAATTTACAAAATCAGAGATCGAAATAGAAACCAGAGGGCAAGAGTAAAAACAAAATTTGTCTGTGTGACCACACAGAATCCATGAAATGATTCTAATTGCCAAAGAAATTTCTACTTCACAGAAATGTATTGAAGACCAGGCCAAGCATCCTTGTTTGAATGTAGACGGACACGGGGGAAATTGTGTGTTGGACTGCTGTCAGACAGCTTCGTGTTTCGAACAGCACTTCGGGACTAACACGAACAACGCTGTTGGTGAGTGTTGTCTCAGACAGGGGTGCGTAACCCCCCTACCCCCGAGTGGCTGAAAGAAAACCCTTTTCTTTCCCCACCTTTCCCCCCCCCCTTAGATATTTGAATTGGTAAATTATGTAAGTTGAACATACTAGACTTACTATTGGCTGTTTAATTTGGGTGTTCACCATGAACAATAGTACTAATGATTAATGATATTCATAGCAAAGAAGTTATAATTTCGCCGACATCTCGGTAAATCTTTACATTCAGGAATTCCGTTTATACATCTAATAATTTTTTTAAAGAAATAAATTTAAGTAGGCTTATTATTTTATTTATGTATTATATCTTAAAAGTCAAGCTGTATTGGGGCCAACGGAAGGATGTGCGATCAAAAACATTTGTTATTCAAAACCAACTGATTTCAGTTCAAATTCCAGCCTAGGCCAGACAAATCACATAGACAAGAATTACACAACCCCCTCTAATAATATATTACATATATGTATATTTTCTTTTCCTGTACTTTTTTTTTACGCCAAGAAATTTAAAAAAAGCAACTGGTGTATTTTACACAAACCCCTGCCCCACGTGTACACGCCCCTGGTGTTTGACACCCGATGAAAGCAGAATATTTACATTAAAAGCTAAGTTAAAAAACTGGAGTCATTGATTTCATTAATGGCATTGAAAGTGACGGAGTTATCACAAGAGGATATTTCAGGACAAGTTGTCAATCTGTCTTGGGAGCCAATGCATTTTGTTTCATACCATTTTAATTTATTGTCTCTATTGTTAGGACACAATAAGACTCATTACATGTATATTTATTTCAACAACATATATTAAGTTTTTTTGTTTTTTTTTTTGGAAACAAGGTGGCAGTGTTTTGCTAAAGATTGGATCAAAATGTAACCGTGAAGTGAAGCATTATTGTAAGAAATGTTAGTAGGAAAGATTGGAGCTTGGTACTAACAGGCTATACAAACCAAAAGTTGTAAATTAAAATCAAAAGAATCACACATTTAGATTTGAAACAATATATACGGAATACATACTATTGTTTGCAAATCATATGTGTATACATTGTTATGTAGTACACTTACACTTACCCGGGGAACACAACTACTGGGCGCGTCCTGCGTGGGCAGACAAGGGATGTGCTCGGCACCTGACGTACATAAAACAGCTCCTACAGGGCTGTCAGTTGTGATATTTTCCAACTGGAACAATAGGCAGAGACAGGGTAGGGATCATGATTACAAGATAGCGTTAATGGGAATGAGGTGAGAGGCGAAGGTGGTACCCTCTGGCCGATGATTCTTACTACGCAGCCCTGAGAAGCTGCTCTAAGGCAACCGTTTCGTCCCAGCTGCATCGCGAATTAGTTGAGTTGTGGAAATCCGCTGTAGAATCCCTCTTATAGGGCGTCTAACGCTTTCCCAGGATAGGTGGGGGAAGATATTGGGACGTACATTTTTCCATCCCAACTCCTGAGAAAGTCGATCGTATGCACTGTGTGCAAACACAGCGTCGGACCGACCGGGTGTCTTTGGGTTGGTACGGCCCCCGGCGAAGACCCTGGTCGAGCAGACTCGGGTGGAAGCCTGACAAAGGGACATCCCCGACGTGCCGCTCCGCGGCCCGATACCGGGTTGGGAGGGGTGTTTCGAGGAGGGCATAAAGAGCGCAAGCTCGACGGTCCACTGACGCAATTTCTTGCTGTAACATTTCAGTACACTTTTTCCCAGTGCGTGAACTTTCTTTGACCCTGCATTAGACTCCTAGCAGACGGTAACGGTTGTTGTGGGCGTGGTTTAATCTCTTTGATGCATCTTGTTTACTACCGACTTCCAATTAAACATGGTTAGTAGGTCTACTAGTATCTTGTCGAAGGTTCTCGATTGTTTTATAAAAGTAAGGGCGTTTGTAGACGCGACTGTAGACCCACATATATAAGGGATTGACAGGCACAGAGAGAGAGACGGAGATGGATAGATATCTTTAACTTCACGAGATGTGTATTATTCTTTGTGTAGTTATATGTGTTTATTCGCATTGATCATTCATCATTATTCATTGGCACATTGTACTAACTGTGTTTAACTGTGTACCGGTACACGATCTACCATACTGTAAGTTGATGATTTGTAATGATATTTCTTTTGTTTTTTAATTGTATTATTACTAAATTAAATCTTATTAATTGTTATTGGTATTTTTTGGGGTGTCGTAATTTTGTTATTGTATTTATCTATTATATCGTCCTTTGCTGTGCACTGTTTGAGCGAGCCATAACTTAAAACAAGAGATTAATTTCTCACAAAATATAGCTTCATAGGATTATCCAGTTAAAATTTTTACGTGATTTTCATAAAACATTAACATATTTCTAAACATTTGTGAGGTAGCCACAGGCCCATCCTGCCCTGGCACGTGCTTCACAGAAGATGGCGCAGACTGTGTGACGTCAGGGCCAAACTGCAATGCTGGAGAAGTGAGTTAGTTGTCACGAACATGGACGCAATTTGTACTGTTTTGTTTTTCAGATTGTTATTCAGACCAAATAAAGGGATTCTTAAGGGCTTGGAAGCAGTTCATATAAATACGAATGCGAAAAAAGGCACGTTTAAGACAGGGGTGTCAAACTCAATCGCTTGGCGGGCCAAAACTCAAATCACATGTCAGTAAGTTTGCGGGCAGAACAGGATAAGCATTCAATAAGCGGAAAAAATATATTTAAAAAAAAACAAACACATTTATATCAATGAAAATAGAACCAAAAATATTTAAAAATCATTGGCATACCTATTTTCGTTCTTATGCCAATTTGTTAGAGTTGGATGTTTGGCAGCTTTTCTTGGCAACAAAAACAAGTAAGTTGTTTATGTTGGGAGTAACTTTATGTGTCATTGAGATTCTCACGATGGACTGCAAGTGTTCACTAGTGAGACGGCTTCTGTGTGATGTCTTGTTAATCTTCATCACAGAAAAATCTGCTCACACATATATGTGCTACCCAACATGCTCAAGGGTTCGAGCCGCATGGAGACGGAGCTGGGGCATCTCTTCAGGAATGAAACGAGTGACCTGTGCGGGCACAACTGTGTCGTAATTTGCCCTTAGTATCCCATTACACTGCAGGTCTATTAGCTCCATCTGCAAATTTACAAGTGTAGTTTCCACGTCTATGACAAATGGGTTACGAAACAGCTTGAAATTACTTTTCTGTGTTTCAAAGTCACTGAAGCGCCGTGCGAACTCAAGGCGAAATAAGCTAAGTTTTTTTTTTTACCAAAGTGCGCATTTGAAACCCCAAAGCGTTCACTTGGATATAATTGTTCGCCGGTCAAGACCTCGCCGGCCTGATATAATTGTACGCCGGTCAAGACCTCGCCGGCCTGATATAATTGTACGCCGGTCAAGACCTCGCCGGCCTGATATAATTGTACGCCGGTCAAGACCTCGCCGGCCTGATATAATTGTACGCCGGTCAAGACATCGAGGGCCTGATATAATTGTTGGGGGGGGGGCGGATGTTGCCCGCGGGCCTTGAGCTTGACACATGTGCTGTGCTTTAAGAGTTAAAAGAAATAATTCAGAAATGTATACATTGTTTAAAAAATATACAAATGTTTACATAATTTTTATAATTTGTAAGCTTAATAATTTCTGCAGCTGCTCTTTTTCACATTGAATATATATATACATATACATATATATATATATATATATATATATATATATATATATTTACCTTTAATTATCCAGGTGTGTGCCATCACGTACTCAACATACGACTACAGCATGAGGTGTCAAAAACAGCAGGTAGACGATTTTATTTCAATAGTTTAGCGTGGAAACGACTCTAAACTTCTAGTAATTGAGTAGATACATTTACAGGAGAGTCAAGTGTCATTCGTATTGGGTGTCCGAAGTCGATGTTTAGAACGGTAACGTAGCAAAGTAGGATAGACTATTTAGAGCAGGCTTGCACAACATACTGCCCGCGGGCCGCATGTGGCCCGCCAGCCCCCACTTTGTGGCCCGCGAGGCAACGAAAAACTTTTCTTTATTCTTATTATTTCCTTAATAGCTTTCCCCCTGACCTATAATCTTTTGGCCCGAACAAGTCCTGTGTTATTTTCTTTTGGCCCGCACAAGTTTTTCATGATGTATTTCTGCCTGCCATACATTATGAGTTGTGCAGGCCTGATTTAGAGATCAAAGAACTTTTAGTCTGTATTTAAGAGGGTACACAGCAGGTTCGTCGTGGACGTTTGAAATGATTACCGCGGTGAATGCCTGTATAAGCGATGAAGTATGTGTGGCGGGAATGATTTTTCGGGTTACAGATATATATATATCAGGGATATTTCAAAATGAAAACTTTAATAGAGAATGACCAAGTAAGGATCTCTGGCATAAAAAAATTGGATGGAAGAGCGATAGAATATGTATAAAAGAGGTCTTAAAGAGGACAGAGGGAGTGATGAAAGATGGAAAAGGGCAGGAGGAGTGATGGAAGACGACAGGAAGAAGGATGGAAAAATGGCAAGAAGAGGAATGGATAATACGCTGGCAGACACGATAAAGTGTAGTTGTAGCCGGTGTATTTAAGCAATGACTACGCCCATGACAACTCCCTACCTGTTGTAACTGGTCGTATACAGGACTGCGCCGCTGCGACGCTGGAGCAGTTCTCACTGTGTCCCCCTGGCGGTGTTGAGGTCGACATTGGAGTTTGTGAGATCTGCTGTAGTACGACTAGCTGTGTCCAGGGCATGATCAACACGGCGCTTCCACTGGACAACGTCCGTAAGTGATGGTCTATAATTTACCTCTAATTAATACATTTCTTTAAACAAATAACTCTTAACATCTTAGATCACAGAAGTATAAAACCGTTCGATAAAAAGCTATCATTGTCCCATACATTTTCTGTTTGAAATACGGGATTAATATCTGGATCTCAGGGGTATTCTTGTTGGGGGGTCTGTCAACTCCTAACGTCTTCTTGGATTGATTACATTCGCCAGTTCTTTCATACGTTGAAGCGTCGTACTATCCTCACTATCAATTAACAAACTCAACTCCTTTTCATAATAACTATAACTTTAATATCTAAGTAAACATAATAAACATCCTATCACTCCAAGGTTCCACTCAAGACTGCCGCACGACTAAAACATACGTCACAACACTGCATAGACAATACGTCACGAATCAGCACAAAAATACGTCATAAAGACAATGGCGGGAAGAGCGTTCACTAACTATAATAGTCAAGCGCGGGAAAAGCGTTCAACAACTAATGAACATAATATTGAGTCGCAACAATTACTAATGAACGCTCATACTCGACAGGGTCCTTTTGTCGATTGTCCTCTTGTCGAGGGTCCTATTATCGGGGTACCTCTTGTCGAGGGTTCTTTTCCCTGGACTCTCTCTCTCTCTCTCTTAGGTCTTATTTATTTGTCACCGTTGTAGAAGGATTTAACAATGGCATCACCACACTCGTGTCAAAAGAGTCAGGCCAATGATTGCACACAGTAAATACAGCTACACGTTGATACTATCTACAGTTATTCTTTGATAAGTACAATGTTCAAAAAAACAATACCGAGGCAATACATCAATCATTGCTCGCTATATTAACTCAACGCCTCATTACAGACACTACTACTAAAACTCTGACTAACATCACTCTATCTAACAGCACTCTGACTACCAGTACTCTGACAACTCTGACTCTGACTAACCGCTCTCGAAAAGTACTCTTACTACCAGCACTCTCGCTACCAGCGTTCTGACTACCAGCGTTCTGGCTACCAGCATTATAGGGGAATTCCTTGGCTACTTTACACAATTTTAAACTCTCACAAAAATTGTTTTATGGTTGTCCCATTTTATCCAAAGCCAATTTTAACACAACAGTACAATTGAGGCGTTAAACTCAAGAACTAGAAAAAAAAACCACACACACAAAACACGGTGAATCTAATCCCTTGACCCCCCCCCCCCAAAAAAAACATACCGAAAAAAAAAATTCGTCGAGGCATAGAATGACTGTCACGCAAGTAAAACTTAAATTTTATACCATTAAAATCTTAACAGAAGAAAAAAAAACATTTCGTTTAAAAAAATGTCATTGTATGCAGGCCTTCTGCAACTATATTTTCTGTAATAATTTTTCATCAGTTTTCAAATAGGTTACAACCAACACCTACTTAAAAACATTTTACCGTACTGTATCGTTTGATTCTTTTACGTCCCAGATCCACGGCCAATGTGAACGGGGAAATATCTTACAGCCTCTCTGTTTCAATGAACATCTTTAGCAGATGTCTCAACATTTCACTAAAAAAACGGTCATAGGTGTTAATAATAACTTGTAGATTACAAGGAACTCAGATGAACATGAGCTTTTTTTTAAAAAAAATAATGATCAAAATTGTGTCACCTTTCTACGCATCAGGAGGGCGCAAAACGATAACTAACAAGAAAAAACACAATGACAAACAAGAAAAAACACAATAAGAAACAAGAAGAAACTGACAAGAAAAAAACAATAACTTAGAAGACAAAAACAATAACTAAAAAAAAACAACAACCAATAGTTCACAAGAAAAAAACAATAGCCGACAAGAAAAAAAAGATAACTTCAATAAAAAGCAAAATAATAACTAAAAAAAAACTATCAAGGAAAAACAACAAGAACGAACAAAAAAAAACAATAACAAACAAGAAAAAAACATCCAGTAAGTTATAATGAAGACAGAGACGAATGTCTGAGTATAATTCACATGTCGTCGGTGGCGCCCCAACGGTCCAAGGACTAAGGGATATGATGATGATGATGAACTAATAATGAACCACTAAATATGGGCGGGCATGCGTGGCACTGACATGAATTTAGTGTTGAGAAGGTGGGACATTTCTGTTGTCCGCCGCTTCCCGTCTTTGCATCCGTTCAATTTAGATGTTCTTTGGCTATCACCCTTTGTGTCCTTTTACAATGGTATGTTAACATACGGTCAAGGAACACATAACACATATAGTCAAAGAACACACAACGCACAGCCATTATCAGTATCTAGGGCGCTACAGCCCATGTAAGGCCCTGGCCTGCTCCACCATACCCTTGCATTCGGATAGATCCATGGCTTTCCGCCTCCATGCGCGAACCTCCAACTGGTGTAAGTCTTTCTCTACTTCGTCGATCCATCTTACTCTTGGACGGCCCCATCGTCTCTGTCAATAGATCTTTTTTGCTGCTATACAATCGGGGATCCCCTCAAATTATACTGCCCAGGGTAGTCTGCCCCTTTTAATTGATGTGACTATGTTTGGGTTTTTGTACAATAAGGCACAGAATGTGCTCTACACCACGAATACAACAAAATCAGAACATTTACTGCTCTCTTGAAAAAAAAAAGGAATGTTTGTTTTTTTACAACTCAAATACATAAAGAGCAAAACAAGCCTCTCCTGTCCTCTATACCACGAATACAGCAAAATCTGAACATGCACTGCTCTTTTGGGTTAAGGGATTGTGCTACAAATGGGACAGAATGAGTTGTCCTCAGCGACAAGTCTATGTGCCAAGTTTCAGTTCAATAGGATGTCGGGACGTGGGTCATTTAGCTTCCCAAAAATTTTGTCACAAACGCACGAACACACGAACAGAAGAGAAGTTTGTCTAAAAGATTTTTTTTTTAAGGAACTGGTAGAAATGAGATTTAAAACAAAATTTAAATAGTAATTTCACCGAATTAAAAAAACTCCTGTTATTGAAACTGCCGAGCCTCAATACAACTTTTCTCTTACTTATGTACCTTTCGAATTCCCAATTTTTCCAGATTCTTCTGTTTTCTGTCCCGGGACTTGCACATCAAATGACGCACTGATGTGCCTTGTGACGGGAACTCAATGTAATGTGGACGAGGTGCGTCCCGTAATTGTACAGAGATTGTGTTCTTCAAGATTAAATCATAAATAATCTAAACGTCAAGGCAATGAATTCTATATGATAGAGAGAGTTTGTATAAACATTTTCTTTCAGACTTCCGTGTTCGTCTATAACAGTGATTCTGAGGCAGGGACTCTTTCATTTACAAGAAATATATATGTATATAAAATCTATTTATTATATTTTTTATTTATATAAATCCCAGGTCATTGTGTGCGACGGATGAATATATATCTAAATATATAAATACATAATATATATATAAAAATTTTATATTTAATAAATATAAATTTATAAATAAAAATAAAAAAATAAAATATATATATATATATATATATATATATATATATATATATATATATATATATATATATATATATATATATATATATATATATATATATAATATATATATATATATATATATATATATATATATAAAATATATATATATTTATATATACACACACACATATTAAAAAAATGTCCATTGATTTTTTTTTTAAATCTGGTCTCTAGTTTTGCCAAATTGGCGTGGACCCATTCCTCCAAGTTCACGGACACTGCAGAAAATTGAATCAGATGCAGGTGACTTAAATAAATGTTATGAATTTTTTTTTTGTCAAATCGTGCATTGAATGTTTTGTGATCCGTCGACAAGTTATACTTTTATAGAGACGAGAGCAAATTTAAGACTAAAAAAAAATGACTCTCTAGCATTGGATGAAAGGAAGGGTGACTAATTAAGGAACAGAGTTTGCAAGATTGTTATCAACATAAGTCACTTTACTGCACACAAATGAAACCTCTTTATTTTAATTTTAACCAACTTTAATTATGTTTTAAATGATGTATTTTGTTTGGGATTCAAAGAATTGTCGAGACGAGCTGTCCAAGTTTTCCTGCACGAATCCAGTCTTCCACGGCGGCCATTTCAGTCATTGCGTCTTTGACTGCTGCACGACTGACGCCTGCCTACAGGGTCACTTCGGGAACGACTGGAGTAGGTTTGGCCTTGAACTTGTAACCGATAGGATCGACGAGTCGCTCTGGCAACGCGTCGCGTAGGGACTCTCTAATATTCAATTCACCGATCAGTGCGACTAAAATCAATACTTCAATACGAAAGACATAACAGCGGGGTGTTAGGACTTTTCCATGAATGTGCTAGGTTCTTAGCACAGAACTAAAATGTATAAAGGTGACTCTGGGTCTGTTACAGCGACCTTTCGAGATTCAGCGAGGATTTTAGACCCATATCTTGTAGCTCATGGTGACATTATTTAAAAAAAAAAAGATTCCTTAAGTGCTGCATAGAAAATAACTTGCTGAAAAGAACAAGTCGTTAAGGCTGATTGCAAGTGTTCGCATAAAGATTTAAACAAATTACTTACTTGCAAAGATTACCATCACTGCATCAGTTGCTTACATTGACTACAGCGTGTGGTCAGGCAAGCAAAACGGCGGACGGACTTCTTGTGTTAAACGACTACGTTAGCGCAAGAGAAGGTTACTTACGAGGCTCAAAGGAACCTAAAATGCTTAGGTCGTGTATAGAAAAAACTGCTGCTGATTATGTCGTTGGTCTTTCTTGTGAAATACCATGTATTTTTCTGTGCATTATGCTTGACATAGTATCAGATAGCTTGACAATGTAAGGGATAGCTTGACAATGTAAGGGATAGCTTGACATAGTAAGGGGTAGCTTGACAATGTAAGGGATAGCTTGACATAGTAAGGGATAGCTTGACAATGTAAGGGATAGCTTGATATAGTAAGGGATAGCTTTGCAATGTAAGGGATAGCTTGACATAGTAAGAGATAGATTGACAATGTAAGGGATAGATTGACAATGTAAGGGATAGTTTGACATAGTAAGGGATATCTTTACAATGAAAGGGATAGCTTGACATAGTAATGGATAGGTTGAAAATTTAAGGGATAGCTTGACATAGTAAGCGAAAACTTGAAATAGTAAGGGATAGCTTGACAATGTAAAGGATAGCTTGAAAATGTAAGGGTTAGTTTGATAAAGTAAGGTATAGCTTGGCATTGTTAGGGAAAACTTGACATAGTAAGGGATAGCTTGACAATGTGAGGGATAGCTTGAAAATGTATGAGATTGCTTGATAATGTAAAGGATAGCTTGGCAAAGTAAGGGAAAGCTTGTCATAGTAAGGGATAGCTTGACATAATCAGTGATAGCTTGACACAGTAATGGATAGTCAATGATAATCAAAGTTTAATAATTAAAATATATTTAAATACGTTTGTATAAATTAAAATTCAAATATTTTCAAATTTTTAAAAATGTTTCTTTCAAATTCAGATAACATTCACCATTTGACGACGTGGCTGCCAGTGACTAACATTAACACAGATACAGACACCACCAATAGACCACACATCACGCAAGCACCAACAACAGCTACCGTATTAACACAAGCACCAGCTACAACTCATGCACCTACAACCAGAACAACACAAGCACCCACAACCACCACTCGAGCACCAACAACTACCACACACGCCCCTGCAACCACAACCACCACGCATGCACCAGCATCTACAACCACCACACAAGCACCAACGACCACTACCACCACACACGCACCAACAACTACGACCACCACACAAGCCCCCACAACAACCCGGGCTACCACACAAGCACCAACAACAACATCTACCACACAAGCACCGGCAACCACCACACAGGCACCTACAACAACAACTACAAAGGCTGCTACACAAGACCATATCGTTCTGACATTTAGGCCGCAAAGCACTGTAGAAAGTCTCGTCTCTGTTCATACACCGGTGCCGGCCGCTACAGCAGAGACAATAGAAACCCACAATGGTAAGTGAATAAGGATAAGAACTAGTTGAGATATGTTCATCCGTTAACAGTGCGGGATTGCGGGCTGTGGGGTGGTGCGGAGGGAGGGGGAGGGGGGAAACTGAAGAAATGACACTTTTTTAAAGTTAAACCTTACTTGCCTTTTGTCAGTTACGATATGTTTGTTCAATACGCAATTTACTTCTGATGGCTTTAAGAACCACCAATCAACTGTGTAGCTCAAGATTTTTTTTTTTTTAATACACGGTAACAAATTTAAAAGTCAGAAATTTATTTAATCTAACTATTTTTGTTTTTTTTGAAAGGGTTAAAACTGAAAAGAAAAAAAAAACAGGACGAAATGAGTAGAAACAGGGAGTAGTGAAAGAAGGTTTACGTTAAAGCTTTATATGAAAAGGCAAGACAATCAATTGAGAACATTTCGGCTAAAAGCCTTCTACAGTATATTAGCGAAAACGGCAAATATATTGAAAGAAGGTCTATAAAAAATGAGTTTTTTCAATTCGCGCATTTTTAAGGTCAAATGGCACGACCTTAACCTTCACTGGGCATCCAAACGTCACTTCAAACAAAAGTTTGTTTTTTTCGATTGCCCCTTTTTTGTAATTTTTTTTAAGTGACATTTTTATCAAGAATGAAAAAGTCCGTATTTATTGGGTTGATACTTTAACGAGACACAGCTATCTTATTTATTGGGTTGATACTTTAACGAGACACATGTATCGTTTTATTGAGTTGATACTTTAACGAGACACATGTATCGTATTTATTGGGTTGATACTTTAACGAGACACATGTATCGTATTTATTGGGTTGATACTTTAACGAGACACATATATCGAATTTATTGGGTTGATACTTTAAAGAGACACATGTATCGTATTTATTGGGTTGATACTTTAACGAGACACATGTATCGTATTTATTGGGTTGATACTTTAACGAGACACATGTATCGTATTTATTGGGTTGATATATTAACGAGACACATGTATCGTATTTATTGAGTTGATACTTTAACGAGACACATGTATCGTATTAATTGGGTTGATACTTTAACGAGACACAGATATCGTATTTATTGGGTTGATACTTTAACGAGACACATGTATCGTATTTATTGAGTTGATACTGTAACAAGACACATGTATCGTATTTATTGGGTTGATACTTTAACGAGACACATGTATCGTATTTATTGGGTTGATACTTTAACGAGATTCATGTATCGTATTTATTGGGTTGATACTTTAACGAGACACATGTATCGAATTTATTGGGTTGATACTTTAACGAGACACATGTATCGTTTTATTGAGTTGATACTTTAACGAGACACATGTATCGTATTTATTGGGTTGATACTTTAACGAGACACAGATATCGTATTTATTGGGTTGATACTTTAACGAGACACATGTATCGTATTTATTGAGTTGATACTGTAACAAGACACATGTATCGTATTTATTGGGTTGATACTTTAACGAGACACATGTATCGTATTTATTGGGTTGATACTTTAACGAGATTCATGTATCGTATTTATTGGGTTGATACTTTAACGAGACACAGATATCGTATTTATTGGGTTGATACTTTAACGAGACACAGATATCGTATTTATTGGGTTGATACTTTAACGAGACACAGGTATCGTATTTATTGGGTTGATACTTTAACGAGACACAGATATCGTATTTATTGGGTTGATACTTTAACGAGACACAGATATCGTATTTATTGGGTTGATACTTTAACGAGACACAGATATCGTATTTATTGGTTTGATACTGTAACGAGACACATGTATCGTATTTATTGAGTTGATACTTTAACGAGACACATGTATCGTATTAATTGGGTTGATACTTTAACGAGACACAGATATCGTATTTATTGGGTTGATACTTTAACGAGACACATATATCGTATTTATTGGGTTGATACTGTAACGAGACACATGTATCGTATTTATTGAGTTGATACTTTAACGAGACACATGTATCGTATTTATTGAGTTGATACTTTAACGAGACACAGATATCGTATTTATTGGGTTGATACTGTAACGAGACACATGTATCGTATTTATTGAGTTGATACTTTAACGAGACACATGTATCGTATTTGTTGAGTTGATACTTTAACGAGACACATATATCGTATTTATTGGGTTGATACTTTAACGAGACACAGATATCGTATTTATTGGGTTGATACTGTAACGAGACACATGTATCGTATTTATTGAGTTGATACTTTAACGAGACACATGTATCGTATTTATTGAGTTGTTACTTTAACGAGACACATATATCGTATTTATTGGGTTGATACTTTAACGAGACACAGATATCGTATTTATTGGGTTGATACTTTAACGAGACACAGATATCGTATTTATTGGGTTGATACTTTAACGAGACACATATATCGTACTTATTGAGTTGATACTTTAACGATACACATATATCGTATTTATTGTTGTTACTTCTGCAACTTGACAAAAATCTCGTATTTATTGTTGTTGATGCTGCAATTGGACACAGATATCCAGACATTTCCCACATGACACAAGTGCGAAAAAAGCTTTGAATTCCAGACATCTAACATAGTTGATAGTGGGTTTTTTTTTAATAAAAGAAAATAAAAAATCCATTTTAAGTCGATAGATCAGGAACAGAAAGTTAATCCATTAGTTGGTGTAACATAGGTTCATCTTTTCAGAAGTCTTGCTGGTCTCTACGTTGAATTTTTTTTTTTCAGGCAATATACGTTTTTACACATTCACTTTATACGAGTTTATCACAGTTCAGCAAGTTTCTCTAGTGAAGCTAATTCTTATTAAGGCCTTTAAACCATATGCATATAACTAGTTATGGCTCGCCAAACATTATCGACAGCAATGCGTGAACTTCCCATCTAGTAAAGTCACTTGACAAAATATGAACTCAAGTAACGCACATTTAAGAATCCCAATTTTGCTACACCCCTTCCCCATGATACGTCACTGCACATTTTTTACATCACGCCCATGAACTGTATTACTATTCTGACGTCCCGACCACTTTTAAACCGAATATTTATTACACCAAATTTAATTTGAGGCGACATCATTATTCGATATGAAAATATTACGCACCAAAAGCAGTTGCGTTATTTAAAACAAAACATTTAGCGTAGTTAACCGATATTATATTTTGCGCTCTACGAGGACATGGGAGCAGTCACACCTCAAGCAAAAGATATAAGAGGTTGTGCTTGCATTTTTCTTTGACAGACGCCCCAGTTTTCTGCACAATTTGCTCTGACGCGGAATGCACAGCTTCTACCCACATTCAATTCTGCATGCCAGGCTTCTGTAAAGTGACCATCACTGATGACCCTAGCGGGAAAATGCTTCTGACGAAAAGGTGAATATATATCTTGTGAAAAAAAAGGTTTGATAATGTCAAAAACTGAAATGCGTCTTCTGGGATTTTGTGTGTCGAATGCCGTGCTTTTTGATGATGCAGGTTGTTTCACTGATACTCCCCTTCGTCTCAACGTCTCTCAATAAAACTATGTTCTCGGGTGAATAAAGTCAAAGTCACAGAACCTGACCGTCATCTTGAAGGCCCACAGCGTAGGGCCACTCGTTAAACCAGGAATACGATGCAGCAATGAACTAGACCAGTGGTCGGCAAACTCATCAGTCGAAAGAGACACAAATCAGCAGCAGTATTTAAAAAAAAAAAAATTTAGAGCCACATTTCTTTTCAAGAATCTGTCAAGAACCTTACTTTTTCTGAGTCAAACCCGATTTGTGGCGGGCTTTCCCGCTTTCAAGGTGCCGACCACTGGAATTAACAATAACAAAATAAAAATTAGATGATTTAAAAAAAAATTCCCATGATTAGTGTTGATTTTTTATGCGACCAGTCATTCTCGACATTTTGATAATGAATTCTTGATATTTTAAATATTGGGATAAAGGAATTTTGATATTTTAAGTATTGGGGTAATGGATTATTGATATTTTAAATAAAGGGATAATGGATTCTTGATATTTTAAATATAGGGATAATGGATACTTGACATTTTAAATATATTGATAATGAATTCTTGTCATTTTATATATGTTGATAATATATAATATATCTCAACAAATCTTAGAGTAATTATTTTAGAATCGGTATTTACTTTTCGCATGTTATTAAGTATTAGGTATTGCCCGTGGTTTTTAGATTCCACAAATTGGCAGAAGGGAAGGTACATTTTGAAACCTCAAGAAATATTAGAAAAAAACTCCTGTTTGTTTTATTTACAAAAATATATTTATTTTCACATCTGGCTACTTTGGTGAAAACTTATATTGCAAATGTTGTAATCATCTCCCGGTAGTTTTCTTGGCTTTTGCGTTTCCGTCTTACAGGCCTCAATTTGTGTTGGGTTCCCAGAACTGATGCACACAACGTGGAGTTGACCATGAATTATAAGCAAATATGTGTTTAGAAATTTACAATATATACAATTTTCGTAAATACAACAGAACCTGCAAATCAGTGTTCTTAAGAATTCCATTTAGAAATAGAAAATTTTATTTATCTGGTCTATTTAACACTAATTTGCGCTCCGTTTTGAGTAATTTATCGGGAATACCAATTGGAGCGCATTTGAACTCAGAGCTATATAATGACATTAGCATATATATGTGTGTGTATTAGAATTGACTAAATTGTATTATTTTTTCCCAGATTGAGTAATAGATGTGTGGATAGAATAGATGATAGGGATAAATCTTCATCTCAGACTTAACTATGTATGAACACATTATGAAGCCATCTTAAACATCTTTATGAAAATCATCTCTACCGCTAACATTGGCAATCTTGTCTTTTTGTTTTTTTCCCCCCCAAAAAAGTTGTGCCACGAGATCCGAGTGCCGCGCCCTCTGGTGGGATCAAACATCCCGCAACCCACAGTGTATGAATACGTTGTCCACCCTGACCGCGGCGACCCACAGCGACTTGACCTGTTCCTTCTGCTGCCAGAGCTCCTACTGCAGCGACAACTTGTCTGCCAGCAACCTCGTCCAATTCAACTAGAGGACAACACCCAAGATGAAACACGTCTCTCTCTGACTGCGGGAGGCTTTTGTTGGCGATATGAAAGATTGTCAACATCTAATTAAAAATTGATTGTAATTACCGCTTCAGTTTAGTATTTATTCACAGTGCGTTGATGAATGATATCAAATACAATACATCTATCAGTGCGGTTTTAGTAAAGAGGAGGAGTCAACAATAAATATCCCTAAATAAATGAAACACGTTTTCATTGATATCAGAATAGTAATTGAAAATGATACGTTATATCTATATGTAAATAGCAATTGGCAAGTTGCCAGATGTCACATAGCGTATTTTCTCAAAAGAATATCAGCCGATGGCTCACTTATCCATTTTACCTGACAGAAGAGCCTTAAGACTTTCACATGTTTCCGGAACTCACCAAGATCCCGCAGAAGTAGAGCAGCATGCACCTGTGACTGTGTTTATAATGTATTACATCCCCAATCTTTGTTGGAAAAATGACATCACTCTTGTTCCATGATAGCCAACTAAATTTGGCACCCATGTGGTAGAGTTCAGGGATCCCCGGTAGCTTGTGTTATTTAATTGAATTTGAACAAGCTCATGGTCTACGGGATTTGAAAAAGAGGCTAACACAGGTAGATTTTAGAATCACTATTGGCTAAAGTAAAGACAGTCAGTGCTCTACTTAAGTGTACTTTATTATATTGAGCATAATATGAACACAGATATATGAAATCTGCATATAAAGAAGTGAATAAAAGTCTAACATTAAAAATATATAATTCTCACAGTAATATAAACAATACCATCACAAGTCTAAGTTCCTGGCAACCTCCGTCAAACATGAAGATGGTTTCCTTAAAAATGTATGCGTATGAGAGTTGTTTAAAAAACAGGAAAGTGTTCAGTAATTATTGTTCTAAAAATACAAATTCAGTTTGTGAACTAAAATCAGTCTTGACATCGAGGCTACGCCTGACAGGCACGTAAAGGCTCGAGATCTTGATGATGTTGCAAATTTAATGTGTGTTTGCCTGATTTTCTATATTTTTATATTGGGGTGTATGATAATTTTTAAGTTCATGATTATGTTTGTTGAATTGTGCGTACAGCGTGGTGATCCCAGCCCTAGGCTGTGGTACCGTGCTATATAAAACCACCACTACTAATAATAATAACTATTGCTGCCAACGATCGAATGACCCTATCTACTACATGCAACGGAAACCTAGTCACGCATCGATATGCTCATCTCGCCTCTCCCTGACTGTAGGGGAATACATCCAGTACTTACACGGAATCATTTCGCGTGGCTTGACCTTAAGTGTGGGTCAACGTCCACTCAGAAGTTGGTCCGGCAATTATAAGGTTAACGACGTGACACCTTTCCTGGAAGGTGTTAAGCTGACAAGGCCAGGTGAATGGGGTACGGAAAGAAAATGGCCCCACCTTGCCACAGTGGGCATTAATTAACCAGCCCCTGCCCCCCTACACACCAACACCTTTTTTTCAGCTAGCAAATCTTTCGCACTAATAGAAATTTAAAAAAAAATAATGAAAGAGAAGTTCTAAGACGTTATTTGAGAAATGCTTGGTTCAACTGATTAGAAGCCGGCACTGCAGATAACAGACCCTTCTCGCTGAGTCTTAGGCTAAATATTTGATTAGAATTCTAACCATGCCTGGCTTGGCCACCTGGATTGCCGTACTATTTTCGCCATGCTTACGTAAGTAGTAGCCAACATGCTGTCCATTTCACTAGTTTAGTGAGCTCTTGATAAGACTCTCGAACTACTTTTTATTTAATCTGCCATCAACCTCCCTCTAGCGATCTCTAAATGACTCAATTTATTTGTGTAATTTGACGTCATTTAAATGATTAAAAACTCTTTAATCCTATTTTATGGTAAAAATTTAATACTTTGAGATTGGAGAAACAATGTAGCACACTCATATTTTAACCAAAAAAAGTTGATCCTCACTACTTCTGTCCTTTCTTAAGTGGTAGGTGTCGCGTGTGGGGACAGCTGGTGGTCTGCCGCAAGCTTCATGTTCTGGGCTATACTAGGGTTAATTCACACAGTTGACATATCGCCGGCGTGGTCTTCCTCTAGCCCTTAAACAAGAATGCCTGCCACTTTAGGCTTGCCATGCAGGCTGATGGACAGGTATTCTGACCTGATCAGATGACCAAAGCAATTAATATGCTTCCCGGTTATGTATTGGCTGATTGTAATGGCACCAACAACTTGTCTTCTTTTCATATTTCTGAATGTGGTCGTCGAATGTGGTCGTTGAATGTGGTTCTCGAATGTAGTCCTCAAATGTGGTCCTCGAATGTGGTCATCAAATGTAGTCATCGAATGTGGTCCTCGAATGTGGCCTTCGAATGTGGTGGTCGAATGTAATCGTCAAATGTGGTCCTTGAATGTGGTCCTTGAATGTGGTCCTTGAATGTGGTCCTTGAATGTGGTCCTTGAATGTGGTCCTTCTCGTTGTAAAAGCCTCATAATTTTTTTTCTGGCAAGTTTTTATTCAGAGCCCATGTCTGACACTGGTGCGTAAGGTTTGAAATAAAGTTTTGTTAATTTGTCTGGTTTTGGTCTTCATCTTAATTCATGGATGTCTTAGCAACGGTAGTTCCTCATTTCTCACAATGCTCAAAACAGAGATTACATGGCACTATCACCTTGGCTCAGCGACACGCTAAGGCTACTTTTCTTAAAACGCTTTTATAAGTCTGTTTACAAACTTTTAAAGATAAAAAGGACTCATGGTCTCAAATTTGATTACGTCACTGTAAACAGAGGACGTTGTGGCCCAGACCCACCTGGGGGTCATTGATGTGCTGGCCGGCTTGACCTGCTACAGTTGCGATGGTCGGGGTCAACTGTTCCCGGCATGCCTTCGTGCTCCAGTGGTGTGTCAATTTGGAGAGGTAAACGTGGTGGGGTATGAATTGGCGGTTGGGGTGGAGGGTTGGTGGTAATTGTAATTTAATTGGGATATGCTTTTAATAAATGTGTTGTAATGCGAGGTAATTTAGCTTAAAGTTTGATGAATGTGACCATAGATTAGAATAAGAGACAGTGTGTCAATGCCTGGGTTATCCCCTTTCTTTTGGTAGTTAGCACTTTCTTACAGTCCATCGTTATTTTGAATTGGGCGACACTGGTTGAGAAACACCGAGTTTAATTATTTGCTGCCCTCTAGGTGGACGGGTTTGTGTTTAATTTAGGCGATACTGGCTAATGGGGCAACACTGGCTAGTTAGTACATTAATGGCTTTTGGGCAGCACTGGCTAATTTATACACTGGATAGTACGCAGCACTTGTTAATTAGTTAACACTGGCTATTTGGCACCACTGGCTAATTAGTCAACATTGGCTATTTGGCACCACTGGTTAATTAGTCAACACCGACTATTTGCAATACTGGCTGATTGGTGAACACTGGCTATTTGCCAGGACTGGCTGTTTAGCCAACTTTAGCTATTTGGCGCCACTGGCTAATTAGTCAACATTGGCTATTGAGCAGCACTGGGTAAAGGAATACAGATTTTTTTTTCGTTTTCAGCATCTTCTCCGTACTAAACAGAAATGTTTTTGCAAAGATTATAAATAATTGGAGGATCGTCAATTATTATTTTCCTCCTCCTCCTCCTCCCCCCCCCCCAGGTGTGCTCTGTGATTTACGGCAATGCGAACCCTGTGATTGGTTGCAAGAAAGTTGAGGTCTGTAACTCGGTCGATAGCCGGTATATCAGTTAATTTGAGTATTCTTAACGATTAGTAAGTTATTCAGCAACTTTCCTATTCTTATTGTTTCTTCATATGTCCTGTCTGCTGAAGAAGGAAATCGGTCTAAACTTTCTTCTCGTAATGTCCTTGTCTTTCATTTTCAAGCTTCCACACACACGATTCCACGATATCATTCACGCAGTTTCAATGCAGTCTTTCATTTATTTTCGTATTTTCGATTATCAAAGCGGGGTTTTTCAAAACAATGTTACCTGTAACACCAAAGTTCATTTATGTTATTCTATAGCTGTACACACAAATCAAACAAAAAGAAAAAAAATCAACAAATATCAATAGATATCAAGTCATAGTTTTTTAAAATAAAATTGCACGGTTTGGCGTTAGATTAATTTTATACATTTTGGGGTATTTTTTTTTCTTCTAAATTTTGGAACCGCTCCCATCTGCGTATGAATATGTAGGAATGTTCTAGAGATGTGTCCCATCCGATGGGGAGCTGTACAGGAGGCGGGGTTGCCATCACAGCCGACACGTGTGAGCTCTGCTGTCATACAGCAACTTGCGTGAACAGCATTACAGCCGGACTGGAGCTAGAGTTCGGTACGTATGACTAAGTCTCGTAATTTTGTGTCTCAATTGATTATATCGCATTGACCCATATTCGCGGACCATGCGTGGCCATCTCGACATCTAGTGCACGTCAAAAATGCAGCTCATTACAGTACATACAGTACATATAACAACCACCAAAACCCCAGAGTAAAATGTCTCAAGGAAAGACCTCGGCTTAGATGGATGGATGGTGTGGAGAGGATTCTACAGCAGCTTCGAGCCAAGCATGGAAAAGAAAAGCACCAGTTAGGTCTTAGTGGAAGGATGGGGGTGAGGCAGGCAAAAGCCCTATTTGGGTTGTATCCCTACAAGAAGGGATCGATATATATACATTGGGGAATGTCTACACATTTCAGGAATTAAAAAAAAAAAATGTATTGTGACATCAGACGATTAATACGTAAGTTAACAACTTGAAAAGCTAACCTGTCTTTTAATATATATATATATANAGCGCGGTACAAAGTCAACAAAAAAACATATCTATAATTAACCACATTTAAAACAAACGCAACACTACATATAAATATTTGAATTAAACGTTTATACGGTGTGTTTTTTTAAAAGATTAATACAAATGGCCTTAGGCCTAGGCCTCTACATTTAATAGAACTGCTCAAGGGGGTAGTCATAAGCTTATAGCCATTTATTTGAAAGTCCAACTCCCTTTTTTGGAGGGTTAACATTGACCATGCTGCCAAAATAACATGACTGTGCAGGCATAACTCTGCTTCCAAATTACAATCAACAGCCTTAAGAAAAAAATGGAGGGGGGTGGGCGAGGGTAGTCGGGGGGGGGGGTGGGTCCGTCCCATTTGACCCATTTTTTACTCTATAAATAGAGGTTCAGATCTTTCACCCAACTGAAGAGTTATTCCCATGAGGGGGGGAACCGACAAAAATATTTGTCTCCTTGATGGACACCACCCCCCTCTGGTGACGCCACTGGGTCTTACCACTGAGCTTTACCCAGATAATATATGTTTTTAAAAAACGTCTACGTTGTAGTTTGAAAGGCTTGCTAAAAAAGAAAAAAAAGCCAAACTTGCCACGTATTTGATGTTCAGATGTAAAGTGCGTACACGATTTGTTACGCTTCGTCAGCCAACAGACCCACTCGTGCATGACGCTTATGGTAAATGGACCCATTTCAACATTGTAACTCTCCAGCAACTTTAACTTTTGCCTTAGGCACGGCATCGCCCCTCACAAATGCATTGACTCAAACAACTACGGCGGCTTCCCACGTGATTACAACAACAACTGCCACGTCGAGTAACCAGTCCATGGCGACCACAACAAGGCAACTTCCAACACAACACGTCGGTATGTAGGTGAAAAGGAGAATATATATTTTAATTAAGGATTTATCGTGACCGACCCTTTAAATGCAGGTATTCAACATCGGAATGACGACGAAAAAAATCTGACTCACTTTAAAACAGGCCCAAGGGTTTCTGGAATATAACTCCTACTTTTTATCTTAAATCTTTCCAACATTTTCTACTAATAACTTATTAAAATGGGTGTATATTTTCTAATAACGTTTCTTGAAATATTGAATAAGTACTTTATTTTTTTTAATTAGTCAACATATCCAGGAAATGATGGGTTAAGTTTAAATTTTATTGTTTTTTTCTACAAGCACAGTGGTTTGGGAGTAATAAGTTTTTTAAATATACAAACATAGTGGTTTGAGCGTTATATTTTATTGGCTTTTATCTGCAAACACGTTGATTTGAGTTTAATATTTTATTGGCTATTATGTTGTACGATTGATTTTGAAACAACTTTTTCAAACAGGTGATCAAGTATCTATTCCACCGATGGGGACCATTAACTGCACTGTCTGCTATGGCGGCAATTGCCAATCTAGACCATTCACTACAACGTGCGAGTCAGGCTTCTGTGTCAAGACTTTACAGAGTTATGATGACGGACAGATTTTGATAACTAAAGGGTGAGTAACAGACACCAGATAGGGTCAAACAGTCCCGGCTTTAGACACATGTGTTATAGGCATCTGTCTGGCTGTACGCATAGGTTAAGAAGGCATCTGTCTGGCTGTACGCATAAGTTAAGAAGGCGACTGTCTGACTGTACGCATAGGTTAAGAAGGCATCTGTCTGGCTGTACGCATAGGTTAAGAAGGCATCTGTCTGGCTTTACGCATAGGTTAAGAAGGCATCTGTCTGGCTGTACGCATAGGTTAAGAAGGCATCTGTCTGGCTGTACCCATAGGTTAAGAAGGCGTCTGTCTGGCTGTACGTATAGGTTAAGAAGGCATCTGTCTGACTGTACCCATAGGTTAAGAAGGCATCTGTCTGGCTGTACGCATAGGTTAAGAAGGCATCTGTCTGGCTGTACCCATAGGTTAAAAAGGCGACTGTCCGGCTGTACGAATAGGTTAAGAAAGTGTCTGTCTGGCTGTACGCATAAGTTAAGAAGGCATCTGTATGGCTGTACGCATATGTTAAGAAAGGGCCACGAAAGAAATTACGGCAAGGACATGGACCAAAATAGCAAACTATTTTAATATGGAATTACGAATGATCTGAATGAAATGACCCACTGTAAAGTGTATTTTGTTAATCAGAGTTTGGACACGCCAATCGATTCGGATAATGATCTATTTTTAAAGTCATCACATCACAGTGAAATTTTTTTAGGAATTCTTTTCCGTGACATTAATATGAATATAAAACAAACATTAATGCAACATAACCGGGTAATCAATTTTTTGGTACATAGACAAGAAAAGATAGAAAACTCAGCCCCATATGTATTTTAGCATATCTATGTCAAGTGGGCTGCATGCCCCTTTTCTTTCCAAGTGTAAGTTGTGGCTCTGCGACTTTTAACAAGACTCACACTAACATTGGCAAACATCCTTTCGAAAGTAAAAGATATACCGTCTCAATACCGTTTAGATCCGTGGAAAAAAAAACGATTGCAGAAAAATGTAATATGACAGAAATATTTAAGGACTGTGCTTCTGCAACAGCAAGAAACTTATATTTCTTCTTGAAACAAACTGTTTAATTAATACACTTTTAAATTACATTACTTTGTGTCTCGCCAGCTTAATTGTGTTTAAGTAGTTTACGAAAGCAAAAAATCCCCGTTTATATTGAAACCAGCCGTGTAAGACAGCCAGTCTTCACTCTATAACCCACTTCGTGGCTATTGAAGAATTTGAGTTGAAATAAAGATAGGCTAGGGCAATTCTACATTATTATCACACCTCTTCACCGCTCGGATTCATGCTCCAACTTTAATAGAAAATACACTTGTTCAACATCAACTAATCCAGTGGTTCTCAACCTTTCTAAAGCCGCGACCCTTTAATGCATTTCCTCATGTTGTGGCAACCCTCCAACGAAAATAATACTTTATAATTGTGGAGTATATTTGTTTTTGGATGGTCTTAAGCGACCCTGTGAAAGGGTCTTGCGACCCCCAAAGGGGTCGCGACCCACAGGTTGAGAACAGCTGAACTAATCCAACAATATGTCAATATTTTATTAGACAACTTCCAAATAGTATTTTTAAAATAATAAGCTTGATCAAAATTTTTGCAAGAACACTATGAGTCTAAAAAAAAAAAATCCTAATATTTTAAAATCAGTTTCAAAACAAATGAGATGTATTTTATGTTTGAGTGAATGAGGTGGATGCATAAGTATGGACACATGTTGGTGTGTGTGTTTGATACGCGCTGGTGTCTTTAACGTGACACATACGTTCACTCGTCATCAGGTGTGGCAGCCTGGAGATCTGCCGGACTGGTTGGTGGCTAGAAACAAGAACCAACCCGTCATGCATGAGTCAGCTGAAGAGCACGGTCAACCCGACCCAGCCGATGTCTTGCTATTTTTGCTGCGCCTCAGGACACAACTGCAACGACCGCCTGGTCGATGCGGGAAGTCTTTACCACTTCCAATGACTCGGCGAAATGATCCAATAAATAGACAGCTGCGTTGTTGTTGATATTATACATGGTGTTTTTTTTTTTTTTTTTGTTTATTTACGTAAAGGACCATTATGTGTTTTCTAACACAAAANACCAACAGAGACAAATACAAAAATGTACTTGTTAAAAAAAAAAAAAATTAAAAAAAAATCAATAAAATAATTCGTAATCGAAAATTTAAAAAAAAAAAAAAAAATGAAATGGTCACAATTTTCTATCTTTTGTAATTTCCCGTTTATCGTTATATGATCGCATCACATTTATGAATTTAACTGAACTGGAACAGTGACGTCTCCTACATAATTACACCACAGCGCATATATTAGGATAATAGTTCTAAATGTTATTTTCTAATTCATCTATTTCATTTTGAGTAGATCTTAAAAGCAGTTGCGACTAGGTCAAGAAGTGTTTGAGAGATCCAATCCTTGGGACTAGGTCCAGAAGTTTTTTTAGAGATTAAATCCTTGCGACTAGGTCCAGAAGTTTTTGAGAGATCTAATCCTTGCGAATAGGTCCAGAAGTTTTTAGAGATCAAACCCTTGCGACTAGGTTAAGAATTTATGTAGAGATTAAAACCTTGCGATTAGGTCCATCAGTGTTTGAGAGATCAAATTCTCGCGATTAGGCTCAAAAGTGTTTCAGAGATCCACTGAAGATGGGATTTAATTAAGAGGAAATGCACTCTGATAAATTTCAATATATTTACCAAGAAGCTTCGCTCGTAATTCTGACTTAAGTAATGCCGGTTACCCAAAATAAAACAAAATGAAATAAACTTTAAAAAAAAATATCTAAACCTTATTTAAATACGACTATAATCGACTCTGTTTTTGAATAAAAAGCGAAATTTTTGTAAATTTGAAAAATGTAAAAAAAACAAAAAACAAATCAGAAATCTTATTACTCATAAGCAACGTCTCTTTTGTAATTTTTTTAACAATGGAATCACGTGATGTAATAAAGACCTTGTCGTATGGTTGTAAATTCTAAAAAGGACTTAAGCAATGTGTCATTTCTTTTACAAAATATTTTTGTGAGAATTTTGAATTAATTGGTTAAAATTATTGATTTTTTTTTGTTGTCGTAACAAATTGTATAACTGTTTTAAAAATGAAGATATATAAAATTCATTTTTGTTTTCAATTTTTTTATGCAAAAAAGGATATAACAAAATGTTAGGCTTTGATTTACAGATTTACAGCCTAGCTATGGTTGTAAGTACAGCTTGATTATTAAATGCCAAATAGATAAGAAAATATAATTAAAATATTTAAAAAAATGATAAATTATGTTTTCTTGTTATAATAACTTAACTTAGAGTCTGCATCTAGAGCAGAGCAATAATTGTCTGATCCTTACGGTCCATACTGGAGGAGAATTTGCAACAATAGTTTTAGTCCAGGCCGATGACAGTCCTGTCAAACCTTAAAATTTAGAAATAATTTACTCGCTTGTTTTATCCCTGAAACCACAATCATGCTCACATTAATCCTTCTTGTAGATAGCCAATTAATCGACAGTGTTGTAGTCTCTAAATAGAAAATCAGTCGAAAGTGGTGTTCTTCCCAAACAAACATACAACCAACAAACCAATGATGTCAAAAGAAAAACAAAAGTAATAATTATATCCGCAAAGATTATCGTGTAAAAATAATCCATGAGTTTAAATAGTTGGTGTAGCCAAAGTTTTATTTAAATAAAAAATAATATTAAGAACTATTTTAGCGTTAACATTTGATGTCCAATATTAAGTTTGTAGAACTCAGACTAAAACTGAATTGAAAGGGAATGAGCCTTGTAACTGTTCACCTTATGTGTGTGTGGGACACATCGTCATGATGTTTACCTAGATATACCATGAAAACTGTCATTGCCACTTCTATACAAAGCGAAATCTCAAGTCTACCTTCACACTAGGCTGTTTATTGACACAAAAGATAATCCATGGAAATTAAATACATCAGCAAAAGAGCAGCGTACGTATCTTTAAAACGTATAACTAATATATCTAATATAACTAATATAACTAATATAACTAATATAACTAATATAAATAATATAACTAATATAACTAATATAACTAATATAACTAATATAACTAATATAACTAATATAACTAATATAACTAATATAACTAATATAACTAATATAACTAATATAACTAATATAACTAATATAACTAATATAACTATGTTACTAATATAACTAATATAACTAATATAACTAATATAACTAATATAACTAATATAACTAATATAACTAATATAACTAATATAACTAATATAAATAATATAACTAATATAAATAATATAACTAATATAACTAATATAACTAATATAACTAATATAACTAATATAACTAATTTCAGTTTTAAGACACTGATTAGTTAGATGTAAAATGAATGTCACTTTTTTCTAAAAAAATATATCTGCTCTCGTCATCTCACTCCAATCTAAGAAAAACACTTGCGCCAATACAATAAGTCATTACCTCATGGTTTACCTAGATATTCCTCCGCTAAGTCCGTGTGTCAAAATTCTGAGTGTCGGGCACAAAGGAATGTGTTACAAACCTAGGGACATTAAAAACCACAGATTTTTTAGTCATTTCACTATCATTTTAACTTATCTACTACATAAACTACATAAAGCTCAGTGCTACTATGTTTGATTGTTTGTATTTTTTTTATTTGATACATTTTTTGGAAAAAAGAAAAACCAAGCAAATTTGACACGATCCTGCCACTGAACTACAGATGTTTCCTGAAAAGTTTGGTCACCATCACCCTATCCAAAAAAAACAAACTGTAATACATTTTAGAAAAAATAGGAGCGTTTTCAGTGCGCCTTTGCTTGGTTCACATATTTTATATCAAACTTTATTCTATGTTCGCCGAACAGTGAAGTATTAAATTCTGTGAACTATTTTGTTCAACAAAGATCAGATGTTACACGGAATAACATTCTTGAAATATACGGAAATACGTTTTTGTAGCATTTAAGGAAACTACAGTACATTTGTGTGGTATAAAGAAGTTTGAACATTAGATTACAATTGTCACACAGTTCTGGGGGGGTGGGGGGCGTTCCTCAAGGGGGCTTGACCGCAACGGGGGCGTAATGCTCAGTTGGCACGCTTCAGTTTTGGACACATTTCTTTTTGAACGCACAATTTTGTAACACAAAAATCACTATTTCGTAACACTAAATATATCGTGTGAGGTGAGCATTACAGTAATTGGGTTATTTTTAACACCAACTTTATAAGGTGGCTGCTACGTATGTGGAAAGGGAAAATCGCAAGTTTTTGATCTAGTCCCAAGTCAGCATTTAGTATAACTACTTCAATTAATAGATGGGTGCATTTTATGGGGAAAGCAATGTCTCAAAGGCATACTTTGTTACAATCGGAACAATTTCAGTCCATGGAAGATTCTTTTTCCTTATTAATTTTTTTTTACGTATTTCACATTTATCAGCCTCTAAAATACCACATACAAACATTATAAACCTCTGTTTATATATTTTTTTTTACTGATATCAGATAATGGAAATATGTGAAACAAGGTATAAAAAGCCTGAAAAAAGGACGTACAAAAGCACGAATGTATCGGCAAAAAGCCTTCTTAAACTAGCAAACAACGAGCAATACAACTATAAAAATTAAAATAAACAGCTGAATAGTAGTGCCCGAAAAGACAGAAAAGGAACGTAAGAGACAATTAAAAATTGTAAAAGTTAAATAGCCAATAACTGAAGGATTGCATTCAAGCCTTAACATACCTTGTTTTTCTATTTCATTAAAGTAGCTAATAGAAGTAGGAAAAGAGGGAAATTAAGTTCAGGACGAGTGGTTGTAAATATGAGGGGCGGAGAAAAGTTTTACAAGTGAAGGAGGACATAGCGGGAAACAAAGGTTTCCAATATTATATACTTGTCATTTTTTGAAATATATTTCGTATCCTTCTAAAGTCGTTATGGTTTACCTCAAATGTTATGAAATCAGATTTAAAGATATTCCTTAAAGTTCCTAAAATGTTCTAAATGAATGTAGGAGATTCTACAATGTGTTTTCCTTAAAATAGCCAAAGCTAAACAAGAAATATTACTCAAGCTTCTACGTAATTTCTAAATATTTTGGTGCAGGGATATCGCAGTTTGCCGTTCAATAAAATGCTTTAATATTGGCGCTTTTCATGCAATTTTAAGGGGCCATTTTTAAAAATTATTTTTTTTCATTATAAACTCTTAAATTCTGTAAAATATTAAAGGCATTTTTAAAAAAAACTATAATATGTTACATCCAAAACTTTGCTCCGAAATGACATCTACCATGTTCTATGAAAGTCAACTAAAATTGGCACAGCTGCAGTTTAAACTTGGCATATTGGCAAAATAAAAATGTACAAGGCAACATTTTTGAAGATTCCTTCTGATATTCATTTGAGTAAATTTGAATAATTAACCTTGAATATTTATCTGAAGGACATGTTATAGCTCCCCTTTCTTAGGGATTAAGTAAAATGACCACTTTTGGAACCCGGGGGGGGGGCGAGGGTGGCTCCTGTTTTATTTTAATTCATAAGCGTCCATATCCCCGGCATCTGTGAATAACTTTGTAACATAAAACATGTTTTTAAAATTTATGTTAGACTTTTAATCATGATGTTTGGGCTGTGAATGTTAACGAAACCGGTTGGGCCACCAATTTAATGTTCAAAATAACGATATTATTATCTTGACATTTCTTTTGATCTCATAACGTTCAAACATTTCAATTGGCGTTTTTTGACACGGCCCCAAAATTAACGCTTTACATTTTGTATGAATGTAATTCTTTTTCAAAATAATGACCCGAGCAGCACCGGGTGTTTTGGCTAGTACTGAATTAATAATGGAATGTTCACTTTAGACCAGTGGTTCTCAATCTTTCCTAAATGCCGCAACCTTTTAATACAGTTCCTCGTGTTGTGGTCGCAACATTATTTTCGTTGCTACCTCATAAATGTATGTTCTCCGA